CCAGAGCCGGACTTCAAATTAGTTTAAATTGTGTTTAACTGTCCGAAAGAAAAATCTATTAAGTGTGGCATGTCGTTGTACTCAGGAGACCGCATTCTTTCAAAACCTAATATAAAAAATGCAGGTCCGTATTTAAAAAAATTAAGTTGGCTTATATATCTCACAAATTATCAGCTAATTTGAAAATCTAAAAATGCTATAAGGTAGCCTGCATAAAGTGACTATGAGAATGTGCAATTAGTTTTTGGGTTTTGTAAAAAGTAACGACATAAAAAAAATAAAACTTATTTTCAAAAAAAAAACGTTTTTTTTTCAAATAACTCAGCTATTTATTATTCAATTCTCATCATTTTCGATGTTTTGAAAAATATCTATAGCTGCCAAGTCGTAAATTATCAATTACTTATTGAGGAATTTATAGAAGAAGTAGTTTTCACTAAAGAGCAAGGGAACGCACAAAATCACATTTTTTTCTATTTTTACTGACGTTCGACAAGCAAAACGATCCTTTAAGGTAGCGGTTTTCGAAGCGTTTAGCGCAATTAGTAAAGACGTTAAGCGCGTCAGATGATAATACTTAAATCGTTAGTTAAGTGCGCGCTAAGCAAAAATTGACGTCATATACGCTCAGCGTGTAAAAGCGCTTACCGTTTTCTAAGTTACAGAAAGGGCCCAAACTGATATTGACACCTGATACAGATAAGAAAAACAGGCAAACACCAGCAGAAAGTAATTCCAGATAAAAATCGACGGGTAGAATATGTCTGTAAAAAACTGCAAATATTTTTTTTCAGTTCAAGCATTTGCTTAAACCACTGGAATTCTATTCTCAATTTACTCAAACAGAAAATATAAAGCATGCTATCTGTACTTCTCGATACAATTTAACCAATTGCAACGGGAATTAAATTTATGCCAGACAAACCGACACAAAGTAAACTCCAATATGAAATAGCATTTATTCAACCGAAACACTACTAGTTTCAGGGCTCGTATGAGATAAAGTGTAAAACAAAGTCTATGCTTGCGGTTCGGTTTAATGGAGTTCAAAAGCCCGACGGCCATATTTCGAAATTTTCTGGTAGATTCGGTTAATCGAAAGGTCCGTTACGAACACAAATACCGATAGAATACCGATAAAAATGCATTCTCGTGCATTTTTTTTGAATCAATTATTTTTGGGATCAAAAATTCCGTATATCTAAAGCATGAAATATCGTATACATTAGTCACAAATCCAAAAAAAAAATAAAAAATTAAAACACAATTGCCAATACATATGTGAAAATAATGTCCTTTCAATCGATTCAACTTCCAGTCATATTTTTTAATATAGTACAGTGACATACAAGAACAATTCCGTATTTCAAAAGAATGTTACAAAGATAGACATAAATTTTATGAAACTATATATAAATGTCTTCAAAAGGCCAAGAAATACTTGTTTCCTTTTCATCCGTCTTCCACTCTTCAATATCAATCAACCTCTAAGAAATTATATATTGCTATAGAAAACGGGAATTTCAGATTTGCTGTACACAATTCGTTTTGCCAGCTGCACAATTTTCAACATCTATCGCGAAATAACTATATATTATATAATTTAGAGCGCGCGTAAGAAATAAATAAGAGGATTTTTTGCCACATAATATAGCATGAAAGTTTTCGTGCTTAAGAAACATTAAGCTTTAAAAAGAAAACACCGAATGCTTAATACGCCTATAAATTTTATACTTCTCAGATTTGAAATTAGATATGATGAAGAGAGTGTTTATAAATTATGTTTCACAAATAGTGAAAATATATTGAATGTCTCAAACGTTTATTTTCCTATTTTAGAATTAAACATTATTTTACTTTATATCCTCATATAGTTTATCAGAAAATAGTGATTCCGCAAATATCAAAAGATCAACAGTCTACGATGCAGTCTGCGTCACATTCTTTGGTAGAAAACTAAGATAAAAGAACAGGAGCCAACGCACTAATTTATAGCTTGAACCCAACACTTTGAACTACAAATAGTAATAATATCAATAAACCAGTGAATTGAAAATATGATTTGTTTTGCACAAATACTAAAGGCTGGCAAAGGTTAGTCTTGGGTCGAGATTTCCGTATGTAAGAAGAGTACAATGCGTTTATAATGTACTGAACAAAGAGAGGTAAAGAGCAGTCTACTTTATGGTGCAGAGACTTGGCGAATAACGGAAGCCAACCGAAAAAAACTGGAAGCGGTAGAAATAGATGCCTATAGAAGAACCTTAGGAATTTCCCGAAGAGATAGAGTCCGAAACGAAGAGATCCAACAGAGGAATAGAGGGATCTTTGGCAACCGACATCGAACGCCAACAACTTATGTGGTACGGACATGTCCAGAGGATGGATGACACATGACTTCCAAAACAAATTATGCAATGGATACCCCAACATCGAAGAAAACGTGGAAGACCTAAGAAGACTTGGAAGGAGGGTGTCACAAGAGCAATGAGTGCCAGAAATCTAAGCGAGGGACAATGGAACGACCGGAAAACGTAGAAGTTAGGCATCGGACAACGTCGCAAGACGTTCTAAATCGATATATATATATATATATATATATATATATATATATATATATATATATATATATATATATATACAAAGAGAGGACAGTAAACACGTTGCCAAAATAAATTATAAAAAAAATGACACCCTAACGATATCCTTATAATCCCATTTCAGATGCTCAGAAACATGTCTAATGATTTTATCTAGTTAAAATTATGTTTAATGATTTTATCTCTTGAAAAAAAAAGTCTTTTAAAAATAAGCGGTTTGCGATCGTGATTTTCTTTACTTGATAGGGAAAGGCGTATCGGCAACGCCCCAACAGCACACCGTCGCGTCGCGTCGGTCGGTCGCATTTCTCCCACTCCGACTTAATAAGATCCCTATGCGATTTACTTCCACACATGTAAATGCCGACCCAAAAGTAACAATTGCCAGCATGGTATATTGTAAAAGTTATCACTTTTTTGTAAGAATCGGCTTGTGCTGCGATTGGATTAAAAATAATATAATAAAATTTAGCCTGCCTTTCTCTGATATCTGCCAAATTTGACATTCGAAGAAATAAATGATTAAAACATGTCGTATTTACTACCAGATTTTGAAAAACTTTTTTTAAAATAGTTGTTCTTTTATTCACAAATTAGGAGCAAAATATCTAATGGTAATTCGTTTGTCTGTAAATACCCCATAGTTTGTAATGTAAATGTAGTTTTAAAGAAAATAAAAGTTTTTTCAGTGGTTCTCAAAATGTAGGCAAATTTTTTTCATATTTTCAAAGTAAAATAACTCGTCTATTTTGGACTTTTTTGGAAAACGGTAAATCCTATATATACAGGGTAAGTTTTAAATAAGTACAAATATGTTTAGAGGTAGTATATTTCGATCCCAGAAATACGTCTATGAGTTTTTTTGCGAAAAAAATTAAAAATTTGGAATTTTTTGAAAAAGTTTTGAGATTTTTTTTAAAAACTTAATGTTAAAATAAAAAACAATGTCCAAACCACTGTCTAAAAATTCTTTATTCGTAATCTGTTTCGGCAATTCCGGTGGTTTGGACTTTGTTTTTGTTTTTAACATTAACTTTTTTACCATGGGTTTCCATGGGTAGAGTTTTGTTTACTTTCACAAAGTGGTGTGTGAAAGTAAAGAAACTCTACATTTTTCTTACTTTTTTGTTAAAAAAAATAGTTTCAGGATAATATGAGAACATAGATTAGTAGATTAAATTTACAAGAAAGAAAACCCCGAAATTTTTTTCAGAATTTTCCAAAAAAAATTAATTTTTTTTTTCGCGGAAAAACCTCGTGGACGTGCTTGTGGGGTCAAAATACAGGGTGGTCCGAACTGTATTCCGGAAACATATTCTGCACATGAAAATAAGTAAAAAAGTTCGTATAAATGTACATATGTCCTAAAATGCTTAGTTTCGGAGATGTGTCAGGTAAAAATCACTATGAGTAATGGTTCTCGAGATATTTGGAATCGAATTTATCAATACCTGTCATCATTGACATAAATTAAGCATGTTAACTAAATAGTTATTAGACTGAAATCAGAAACTGTTGCTCGTACCGATTTTTACCAAGAGACATATTTTACGTAAAATGTCACGGAAATATATATTTTTTGGTTAGGTTTTGTTACTCAGTAGTTTTATACAGGGACGGACGGAAAATGATTACTCTTCAGAACAGTTAAAACACATGTAGGTGGCGCCCATTACAAATAGGACTCATATTGACATAAAAATGAAATCCTCAAAAAACACCCAGACACCAATTTTTATCTAGATATCGACATATATAATTGAGAAATTATTTGGAAAAACCGGAATAAAAATGAAATTTCTATACCCTGTATCTCTGAAATGAAGCATTTTAGAACATACATTTATACAAACTTTTTTAGTTATTTTTATCTGCAGAATATACTGCCGAAGTTTCCAGGATACAATTCGGACCACCCTGTACATATATTTCCCCCAAAAAAAATTTTTACTTATTTAAGACTCGCCCTGTATAATGTAACAAACAGAAAACAAAAAAATAAACAGAACTAAATTAATTTTCCTAACATAATTTTTTAAATTAGAAAAGCATAAGATAAGAGCTTAAATTCAAAAACTTAAAGCCAACAAAGTTCAATTACTCTTAAACTAATTTATCTTCCACCCCTTACTAACCGGAATAGAAAGGAGAGAAAATTAGGAAACATAATCCATTATAAAATCAGCCTATAATAATAACCTTGCACTGCAACAACAGCGGAAACATCTCGAGTTTAACCTTTATTTCGTAACTCTATTATTGGGAGCGAGTTCTATAATAACATCTAAACAATTGACCGTATTTTTCTTTCATTATAGATAATGCGAGTCAGTTATATTTACCTACAATGCGAAGACGTATTTTAGTAAAACAATGGTGAAGAAAATGTTTTCTTTTCAGGAAAGGCTCCTTTTGTCAGTTCTTCCGAGGCACGTGGCGATGGAAATGAAAGCCGATATTGCTGGCCAGCCGAAAGAAGAACAATTCCACAAAATCTACATTCAAAGGCACGAGAACGTAAGGTAATATACTTTATATAAATCTATCAACCATAATTCATAAACTCAGTTTTGTATAAACTTTAGTATTTGGCTGATTCTACAGTGTTAATTGAAGGGTTGTTTTTTACCTTAAGTTTAAAACACCCTGTGGAATAATAATTTCGTGGGTAATTTTTCCTAAAACATTATTTTTCGATCAGAAACTCCTCTGAGCGTTTTGTTTTTGGACTCATGTCAACACAATGTCTTGGTTAATTTTAACGAAATGAACCTGCCACCAATAATTTACTTATCTTTTCATTACCTTATGATGTTATTTTTTAATATCGCGAGGTGACTATTGTCGTAATACCACATCAACACTGCATTAGAATTTTATATTAAAATTTAAGAAACATTGAAAAGTAACGATGCAGGCTTGGTGTTAATAAATATTTGTAACACTAACAGAACTAAGGATATTAAAAAACATAATTGTAATAACTAAGGGTACAAACAAAGAAAAACAACTAAAAAGAGTAAAAAATACTCTAATACTTTGTATTGCCTGTCCCGGCTGCTATAACTGCCTGTAGACGTCGGTTCATACTGCCAATGAGGCTGCAAATATACAGGGTCATTCAGAGTCATGAAAACCCGGTATATTATTTTAATTTTCGAAACTACTCACCCATATCACAAATTTTTTCTATTTACTATATATATATTTTATATTTTACTATATATATTTTATATTTTTCTATATACTAACCTATACCAATCTGAAGAATAACATCAAAAATGTAACTTTCGTTGCACGTCATCAATGACACCATGCGTCATCTTATGGAGTTTGCTGGTGGTCGTATTATGATGTGCAACGAAAGTTGTTTTAATTCCCCTATATACAACATTAGACACTATATTATTTTTTTTCCGATTTAGCTGAAATTTTGAATGCGCGTATAAGTAATTTAAAAAAAATGAAGGAACACATTACTAAAAATTGTATTAATCAATAATAAATATGTAAAAAGTAAAGATAAATATGTAAACATATATGTAAAAATTAAAAAAAAAACATTAAAAAAAAGTCGCCTGCCTTACTACGGCTCCAACATCATAGCAGCGTAAAGTCCTAACACTTTAACCACGCGGCCACCGAGGACTTGAAAGATTCTATGTAAAATTCTTACTTAAAAGATAATGTTTAGTGAAAGAACTTTTTTATTTATAAACATTTATTTAATTCTGTTTTTAGTATTTGTTCTCCTAGCGGCAACATAGATACATTATCTGTAAAAATTTCAACTGTCTAGCTATAACGGTTCATAAGATAGACCTTTGTGACAGACGGACGGACGGACGGACAGCGAAGTCTTAGTAATAGAGTTCCCGTTTTTACCCTTTGGGTACGGAACCCTTAAAACAAAATATTCAGGAGACTGACTCAAAAATAATGTTTTAGGTGTTTTAAAGATAAGGTAAAAAACAACTCTTCGATTAACCCTGTATAAATACTAAAGTACTAGTGTCAAATACTAAATTTTAGAATAGACCGAGTTTACAAATTAATGTTTATATATTCCAATACATTTTGTTAAAAAAATATTAAGGAAATAGGGCTAAAAATAAAAATAATATATCACTTTAAATTTTTTTTCCGTTGAGTGTTTTTGCATCTGTGTAATAGAATTTTCAGATAATTGTATAACTTAGTTTTGGGATATAACTTATACTAATCCTACCTTGGAATCACAGAGCCTAAAGTAAATAGAGAAAAAAATAGGTATATCGTTTATTAAGAAAATTAAAACTAATGTTTAATAGTAGGCAACATCTTAAGCTAAGACGAAGCACCAGTTCTATTAAAAATAAACTTACTAAAACAACTAACTACTTCACCCCATATAAACGAACTCTTCCCCAAAAGACATTTTTATTTAACATAACATCTGATATTTATGCCTGTAATTAATTACATGTTGCTGATCTTCTCTGCCGCTTCCTTATCCAGTTTACTATCATTAATTTTAGAGGCCGCATCATCACGTCTCTTCGAGCTAAATATATTATTTTAGAATTTTTATTCCGTTTTATTGTATCGCTTGGTCCATGTTGCTTTATTTTTCTCATAAAACACATTAAATATTTCCGTAAAAAAAAACACTAATGTGTGACAGCTAACAACAATACAAAAAAATAATAAGATATAATAAATTTATATCAGTTTATTCAAACTGGAGTGGTGTTTTCTTAATCCTTATTCATTACAATTATATCCCTAACCCCTGTAATTATATTATCGAATTATAATTAAATAATTAATAAATACACACAATTATCTCTAAGTTAAAATGGATTATACAACAATATTTATAAATATTTTTTTATCTACAATTTAGTTAGGTTAAGTCTGAAAAAAATATCAGTTGTTTAACATCTAGACCCTTAAATGTTAGAATTAAAGAACATAAAGATTATTTAAGAAAGGGCTATTTTCACAAATTTAAGATTTGTCAGCATTTATGGGACACAGGGCACAGAATAAATTTTAATAACGCCAATATTATAATGAAAGAAGCAATGGCCTCTAAAAGAAAAATAAAAGCGGCTTTCTTAATTCAATCTAATAAAAGTAACTGTATTGCGCATGCATCTGTAGATGTTAGTAATGTATGGCAATCGCTTCTTTGATTTTAATTTTTTTTTTGTTATTTATAAAATTTATAATAAGTAGGTTATTACATTGACTATGAAATACAATATAACTGTTATAAAATTATGATAGTAAGTAATATCATTGTTAACAAATAAAAGTAATAACTTTCTAATAATGTTGTTAACTTTTAAAAAAATCTCCTGCGTTTAATTAATATCGGAATAGCATATTAATAAGTAATTATATATATCTGAAAATTATTAAAATACATTTTAAATTTATTAATATTTTGCTGCAAAATACTTATTAAACTATTTATTTAGCCGTATAATTTTTATACTTTTTAATAAAAAAATGAGTTTCATAGTTTAAGGAGTTAAGAGCAAAAACTATTGGAATTTATTAAAGCAATAAATAAAAATGTTATTTGCAGGAAATAAATGTCACATAAATTGTTCCTTAGGTTTCTCTTGCAGCATACTTGTCGTTGATATATGCAGGCGCACGATTTCTCCTTGCAGTTTCTAGTGGCGCTATCTTTCAGCGATTTGTAAAGCAGAATTTAATATATTTCACCTCCTATAATTCTATTTTTAAAATACAAATTTTCTAAAGATGAATATATACATATTCTATTAATATGAATATAAATGTATTTTTTGTAATTTATGGATTATGCCAAGTTCGTTTGTATAAAACGTATTAAATAATGTAAATAAATTTAAAAAAATACTGTAAATAAATAATTTAAAATTAAAACTAGAGCAGGGTACAGCAAGGCAAAACCTGTGCAAAGTACAGAGACTGGCATGTCTGTGCCAAACTGCATCACAGGTGCCAAGAGAACATGTCGAACAGCAGCAATGGAGGTCATTCTAGACCTAATACCACTGCACATTGTCGTCGGTACTTATTCCAATGCGACAATGATTAGAATGGTCATTGACGGAAACAGTACTGGGAAAATTTTCAGGTCAGAGGCTGGGAACACCCTCAAAAAGAAAATTCCACTTCTCCAACTCCCAGTGGATGACATACCAAGAATTTACAACTTTGAGAAACACCTCACTGTAGTATTGAGTAATAAAAAGGATCGGAAGAAAGAAAGGCTTACTCAGCATATAAAAGACCATACCATCACGTGGTATACTGATGCTTCCAAAACCAAAGCAGGGACAGGGATAGGAGTATTTGGGCCGAAAACTAAATACTCCGAACCAATGGGTACCTACCCCGGTATCCTTTAAGCAGAAATTTACGCTATCGAAAGATGCGTACAATTTATCTTAGAAACTATCGAAAACAGGAAATTGCCATTCTATCCGATAGTCAAGCAGCACTTAACGCGATCAACTCAGTAACCATCAATTCGAAGTTAGTCAAAGAATGCCTAGAGAAGCTCAACAAATTAGGTAAAGAAAATAAAATCCTCCTACTCTGGGTACCTGCTCACCAAGGGATAGAAGGCAATGAAAAAGCAAATGATCTGGCTAGGATATGAGCGAACACTTCACTAACTGGACCAGAACCGTTCTGTTATCCAAACGGGAACCAACTGAAAGCAGAATTAAAGAATCTGGAAGACTCCATACGTCACTTGGAATGGGTGTCCTCCAACGGTCTAAAACACTCGAAAAAGTTCCTCAGAACTTACGACCGAGAAAAAATCAAAGGTTTTCCTTGATTTAAGTAAAAACAATCTTCGGATTGTCACGGGGTTTCTAACAGGACACTGTCTCCTCAACGAACACCTTAGTAGGCTGAAGCTGAGAAACAAAGGCGAATGCAGATTCTGTGGGGGAAATGGGGAAACACCAGAACACCTTATCACTGGGTGCGCCAAGAACAAGACCATTTGTGCCATGAACTTTGGTATGGCTGATGTCGAAGATGGAGAGCTGGCCTCTGTGGAGCCGTCTCAGATACTGGCTTTTGTTAAAGCCCTGAGACTTTATGATGAGTTATAACTCGGTATAACCCAAGAAAGGGGAACACAATAGATCTGTGAAAAGTCGCGGTGATTAACTCCCCTCCTTAACATTCTACAAAATCGCGAAAAAAAAACCGTAGACGTGTTTCTGGAGTCGACATACACTACCCATAAGAATATTTATACTTATTGAAGACTCACCCTGTATTAACAGAAAATGATACGAGTACAAAATAGTGACGATACATCAAATAACCTTAGTAATAAGTTTTTATCTTAGTATTATTATTTATTATTTTATCTTTTTATTTAGTTTTTTTTCTTATTTTTTTTATAAAAAAGCTGTTATCTGTTTGAAAACTATAAAGTGGAGTATATAGTCTGTGAAACGAATAACTTTGAATTTGACAGTTCCCGCGGACTTTCTAGTGTTAATTTTATTAGGTTAGCAACTTGCGGCCATGCATTTTTCTTTGTTGCCTGATATTTAGAAATGTCAAAAGCTAATGACATTTTACTTTTGACAATTATGACATTTCGTGTTGATTTTTGCAAGAAAAGGAAGGACTGTTACTTCTTTTATTATTTTCCTTTTCTATTTCACGAAAGTAAAAAGAGTTACCTATCTGATTCGTTCAGGCGCTCAATTTAAAGAATATCAGTAACTTTTTTGATAGAGAGATTTTATATTTGTCATGTTGGTAAAAAAATAACGGTCAAAATTCGTTAAAAAAGTTATTCATTTTATAGACTATACTATAGTTTTAAAGTATAATAATCATTTTAGAATAACTTTCTGGGACAGATATACAATATGATCGAAAAAAACTGTATCACCAAACTACAACATATATTATATATCCACATCTAACTGTAACGTAGTCTTCAATCGATTACACAGTATAAAAATAAAATCAATTGTCTTAATGCGAAACTAAATCTTAATAAAGCAAAAACGTGATCTAATATTTCACACTCTATTCCAGCATCCTGTTCGCCGACATATGTGGTTTTACGACCCTGTCCGATCAGTGCACCGCCGAAGAGCTCGTCCGTCTTCTAAACGAACTGTTTGCCAGGTAAGCCCAGCTATTTACTTTGTAAGTTGACCGTTGCCCACACGGCTAGAATACAAACACGAAATAAAAGAAAAGCTCCGTAAATTCGCTAGCGGAAAAGTTTGCGATCGGAAACTTATGAGTGTTGTTTCCGTTATTAGTTCGAAACCTTATAGTTCAGGTTTGTCGAGTTAGGGGGCATTGTTAGAATTGGACTAATTGATTATGTTGGAAAGTTTGCTTTATGAAGAGACAATGATTTATCGTTTATTTTTGGTCAAATCGGTGGGAGCGGATGTAATTAATTGATTTGGTTCATGGAATAATTCTGCCGGCACAGAAAATAAATCGCTAAATTCAAATATTGCTTCCCAAAACAAATCCCCATATTTCTTTGTACTATTATACAGTATGATCGAATAAAAACGGCGTCAGCGATGGCTATGAAATGAAAATCGCTGTCATTTTATATGTAAAATTATATGGGAAATGTCATCGATCGTGATTTCCAAGCCAACTGGACTCGATCATACGGTATTTCATTTCGTTTTATTAAATCTATAACTAATTTTCTTTAAATTGAACAAAATTTAATTTTCTTCTTATCTTATCACTATGATAACAAAATAGAGGCTGTACAGGGTGGCGCCTCTTATACGCCTCGAAGGCAACCAAACCAAACCAAACCAAACATATGTAGGTTAATTCAGAGAAAAAGTTAAACAGGGTGAGACAAAATTATATACAGGGTGGAGCACCTCATTCGCCTCGGTTGATTATACGAAAACGGAAAGATGTAGAAACAAAATATTTTAGGGGTATATGTGGGGAGACAATGTGCACAATTTAAAATTATTTATAATATACAGGGTGTTTCAGAACTAAGATCCATACCAAAGTTATATTTTTTCTTATGGAACATCCGGTATTTTATTTCAATTTTGGATTCTTGGGCCCAAAAAAAGGTATTTATTATAAGGGTTAAATATGTTTAAAATCTTTGGTTTTTGAGATATTGAAAGATATTTAAATTTGCATGCTACAATAGAATAGATTATTAACACTCTGTACATTACTTTTCAGAATTAGTTCTTGTGCTGAGTTTAAAGGTAGAGAAATAAACTTTACAGAAAAATGTTATTCCTTCCTTAAATATATGCAGGGGTATCAAAAAACCTACCCCTAAAACAAAGACTTTCCTAGATATTTTCATTTACATGATTTGATCTGAGTAGATCTTTATTATTTGATAAAATCTATGTGACTGTGATATGTCTGACGTTACTTCAAGATAGCTGTCTAATTAGTCCAACTTTAATAACTAGTTATCATTTTGTGTCATTTAAAACAAAAAAAAAGTCTCAGAAATGTTTTTCTTATATATTTTAAATTGCTCAATTTTTAAAGAAACACATAATGATACTTTAGCTTTCTTCATTTAGATTCCCACAGCAGAAAAATATTGACCTAATTAACTATTATCAATAAATAATTCAGAATTGTGCAGTATTTTTGATTTGAATTATTTCAGAATATAAACGCGATGAAATAGATGCAAGAAATTACAATATAACTTTATTTATTAATCATTAGAGAAAAGTGTAGCGTAATATTTTAATTGCGAAAATGATTGGCTGGATCCTTTGACTGGACTAACGACTAACCGGAAATGAAAAAAGTAGCAGCGAGTTTTAATGGAAACATACAAAAATACTGAATTAAACCAAACATCGAAATTAGTTGCGATTTAGAATATCTTCTTCTGCTATTAAAATAGTAACGAGTAAAATAAATCCTACTTTAATAAAAGAAAGTGTACATTTACTAATGGGAAATGTTTTATATCTTTAAAAAACTGTCAACTTTGTTTGACTTACTTCCGTTTATTTACACTGTAAGTCGGTCACTTCAAGATAAAAAATACAAAGAAAACTAGACGACGAAAGTTGAAAAACTTGTAAGACTCGATTGATTCCATTAGGACCGTGAAGTCTTAATCAGGTTCTTTTGTTGAGATTAGGAATAGTGTTTGACTTGAACTGATTGACTGTATTCCAAACTTTGTTGAACAGTTTGTTAATTCAAAATTTTTCTAGACTTATATCATTACACTCCGCGTTGTTATTAATAATAATTTTATAAGTAAATATCAAAACAAATTTTTGGATACCTTTTATGCATGAAAAACATGAAAACGCTAAATGTATAATAATCATGTATGTATGTGTTATGTATAATAATTTCGTATAACTGTATATTTTTTTCTGTATATTTTTATATAACTGTCAAAACTATTATGAACATAACCAACAAAAATAATTTGAAGTTTTATTTTTAAAACGTACCATAATTTTCATTATTCACTACCATTACTCTTTTTATCATATTATTACAGAAACATAGTAATTATGTACCGGGTGCGTCTCAAAAGTGGCTCAACCCTATAACATTTTTTTTTTCAGATAAAAAAACGAGGTTTGGTATGTTAGTATATGATATAAATTGGGAGTGAATAACATGTTCAATTGTTTTTGGCCGCTTCCTGTTTCACCGGAAATTATTGGAACTTTTGATTTTTAAATGACACCCTCGCTATTTTTTTTACTTTATTCGATAGAAACTGACACTCTGAATAGAATGACATATCATATGTCAACTTTTGACAATTTTGCATAGGGTTTGTTTGAAATTGTAACATGCCGTTCATAACGACAATTTGACTCGAAATACCGAGTATGTAGTACCAAATTATTCATAGAAAGTGCTTTTTCCAAATATGCTAATGACCCACCCAAAATGATTAAAAATCCGATTTGGGCATTTTTTAGCCGGTCAGAGCAAGACACAAAAAACATTAGACGATCAAATATATTTTTCTAAGGGTCCTTGATTAAAAATTAGTACTTTTTATCACAGCCATTAGCACTCTAGTAGAAATTTAAAATAGGAGCGAATTTTTTTTACGGCGATTTTAAGCGGAAATGTCAAAAGTTGAGATATGATATACATACATAGATACTGCCATTGCTCGCTGACGAGTATTTGACATGCATCAGAAGATGGTCACGCAAGGCGTTTTCTTTCATGGCCTTTTCTGTGACTGAAAAGCCCGATACGTGATGTTATCTGTCTACCACACTCCGGAAATTCAAAAATTTCATTGCTTTGTTGCCACTTAACTTTTTGGTTGTCGCTGTTAACTGAGTTTACAATTCTTCTCCATTGAGTTATATTGTGAGCTGCTATTTCCCACTTATTCTGCATGTAAATCCCCTTTAAGTTTTCGTGGAAAATGTCCTTGTATCTTTTGAGTTGTCCACCTGGCCTCCTCTTACCGTCTACAAGCTCACCGTAAAGCAGTGATTTTGATGTGCGGTTTTCTTGCATTCTGCATATGTGACCAGCCCATCTTAGTCTGGGTTTTGTAACCATGACTTCAATACTCTCGCAGTTAGCTTTTTCAAGAACCAATACGTTTGAGACATGATTGATCTATTTCATTCTTAAGAGTTGTGTAAAGTGCCTCTATTGCAACTTATTTAATGTGTTCATGTGTCGGCGGTACGCCACCCAGGTTTCGCTTCCATATAACATGGTGGGGATTATTATTGCTCGGTACACTGCAAGTTTCGTTTTTGTACTCAAGTCATGATTGTAGAAAACCCTGTCTTTTAATTTCCAGAATTCTCTTGAGGCGCTGCTAATCCTGTGCTGAATTTCAGAGCGATATTGGCCTTTTCCGAAATCAATTTTTGATTTCGGAAAATATATGATGTCATTCTATTCAGAGTCTAATTTTCTAACGAATAAAGTAAAAAAATACCGAGGGTGCCATTTAAAAATCAAAAGTTGTAGTAATTTCCGGTGAAACAAAGTCAATCAATCCTGATTTATGTCATATACTAATATACCAAATCTCGTTTTTTTATCTGAAAAATATAAAAGTTTTACGGGTGAGCCACTTTCGAGACGCACCCGGCATATAGTAGTATACTATGTTATCTGTGATATTATGTATTTAACAATGTAAATTGCATCAATTGAATGAATAAAAAACAAAACTAGCTTTCCGTTTAGGTATTAATCAAGCATCGCATCCCCTTTCGTGAGAAAAAACAATTCGCGCAAACCGCACTTTATATTTCAACTTTGCCCATAAAAATGTCTTTTCCTTTTTAAATGTCTGGCATTTTTATGACCGCTTGCCACCCAAACAGGTTTTTTGTGCCTCGTTTCGCGGTTCGTGAAATAAATTACGGTCTGATCCAGATCATTTCTTTCCTAACGTAATATATCATTCTTTTCAGATGTGTAGCATGAAACGGTTTTTTAACTAAATACTTTTTTAACTAGTTGAATGTTTGAATTTACTAAACATACACGTTTATAAATACTCAGGTGTACCGAGTGCGTCTCAAAAATGGCTCATTCCTATAACATTTTGATTTTTTCAGATAAAAAAACGAGATTTGGTATGTTAGTATATGACGTAAATTATGACTGATTAACGTATTCAATTGTCTTCGGTCACTTCCTGTTTAACCGGAAATGACTACAACTTTTTTTAAATGGCATCCTCAATATATTTTTACTTTATTCGATAGAAAATGACACTCTGAATAGAATGACATATCAAATGTCAACTTTTGACATTCTCGCAAAATAAAATCGTATTTTAAATTTAGAGTTGCTGTGTTGAAAATACTAATTTTTAATCAAGGAGCCATGAAAAAATAGATTTGATCGTCTAACGTTTTTTGTGTCTTGTTCTGACCAGATAAAATATGTCCAAATCGTATTTTTAATCATACCACAATTTTTTCAAATGAAACGAGGGCGGCTATAAGCATATTTTGAAAAAACAATACAAATAATTTGACACCACACACTTGGTATTTCGAGTCAAATTGTACAGTTATGGCCATGGAACTCTAAATTAAAATTTAAAATCCTATTTTTTTTTTAATTGAAAATGTCAAAAGTTGCCATATGCTATGTCATTCTATTCAGAATGTCATTTTCAATAAAATGAAGTAAAAAATACCAAGAGTGTCATTTAAAAATCAAAAGTTGTAGTAATTTTCACTGAAACGAACTTTTATCGAAAATAATTGAATACGCCAATCAACCCTAATTTATGTCATACATTAACATACCAAATCTCGTTTTATCTGAAAAAATAAAAAATTTATAGGGGTGAACCACTTTTCAGACATAGCCGGTATATCGATTAATTTTTAAATAATAACCGGTTTATTAATGATTAAGTAAATAATGTCTATAACTTTGTTGCAGATTTATTTCTTCAAAAAAAACTTCTGGGTATTTTGCCACTAGAAGAATATCTACAAAATAAAACAATTATTTTTTAAAGACCTGTGTGTTGATCCCACGGAGACCAATTTGTCAGCGGTATTTTACTAACAAAAAAAATTTGCCAAACGGGCAGCAAGATGCTTAACCTTTCAGGAGGTGTATCTCCTCCCGTCGTCGGAAGCAAAAAAACACAAAGAACAAAGAAAAAAATATCTTGCTGAGGCATCTGTGGAGGGTAGTAATGTATAGCTTCTTTTATTATTGCTTCTGACGATGGGAGGAGATATACCTCCTGAAACGTTAAGCATTTTCTTGTTTTACTCTTTCTTTTCTTTCTTATTAATCTTAAAATAATATCAGAAATTTTTTAATCTTTTAAAAGTCCTTAATCAAAAAAATGCTAAATTGGTTGAGGAATACCGTACTAATATTTTTTTACATACAACATCGACTATAAAATATTTGTCATTTTCATTTTCATAATGCTGATATGCCGTCTATCAGCCGACTTTCTACCTTGAAACTGATTTATAGCAATATTTCTCTTCGATTTACCTATACCATAAATTCATTATTAACGAATTTGAGGTACAGTGAACTACCGAATACCGTACAACGCGACATCCTGTCCGACTACATTATGTGGTTAACCTCACTACACAGCAAATAACATCTAAACTGAAGGCAAATTCTAATATTGTAACAATGAATTTAAAAATCTCCAGTTTGAAATCGTATCTAAACATAAAATCCTAATGAATCTATATTATATGCTTCAAATATATTTTAACTTTCCGATATCGTAACAAAAAATACTAATCTGTTTTTTAGATCAGATTTTTATACAAAGTTTACTGGGTTCAAAAGAATGTGTAGGATTGCTATAGAACACCGCAATTATGTATTACGTTTTATTGCTGTCCAACTTTTTTATCATTAGAACTCTAAATATTCTTAATATGAATAAAGAAAAAGAAAAAAGAATTGGCAAAAGCCACACTTTATTATTCAACTTTTTCGATAAAAATGTCTTTTTCTTTTTAAACGCTTGCACCCACACAGTTTTTTTTTGTTTTTCGTTCGACATTTCCTAAAGTAATTTGCCCTCTCTTTCAGTCAACTTTCAGTCTTCACTCAAAAATTGCCAAATTATAAGAATTATTTTGATAAAACACGGTTTAGTTAGTTGTATGCTCATTAAATATAAAAAATAGAAGCCATTTATGAAATACCATACATTCAAAATTCAGTGGACACAGTAAACTATCATTACCTTATGAAATTAATTTTCAAAAACAGCTCTGTAAGAATGTACAAAAGCGTGTGCTGTCTGTAATAGAGTGACCACCATATCCCAATATGTTATGAGTAAAATGTATATCAAATTTTCATAAATCATAGTTTAAATTGATTTTTATAATTGAATAAGTGACAATTAAATTTTATATTATTATTAAATTAACATATTATATTACTATAACATTATATATTATTATTATAATATAACATTATATATTATTATTAAATTTACATTAAATTAACATTAAATTCTGTTATTACTATAGCTTGTTATATATTTATTTCCTAACGAATTTTATATTTAACCAAGATCGTTCATTGTTAGTATGCGCTTTTTTTGAAAGAGAAATTCTCGGTCTATTAAAAGTTGTATCGTTAAAATAATAGCAACTGATAAACAAAAATATACACAAATATTGTGATGCCTTGATGTATAATTTTATACGAACTTAAGTTTTAGAATGGCTCGTAGCCTAAATAAAATACCTATGACAATTTACATCTAGTGCCGCATGTGTTTTGTATTTTTATATTATCATTTTACTATTATTTATCATTTACTTAATTTTTATTTTTCTATACATTACTATAAACTCTGAAAATTGCTAAATTTTATCAAGTTAGTTGACTACCTATAACTGTTGGATTATTAATACTAGGATATTAATAATTATAAAAAAATCCCCTGTTAGTGTGTTTTAGTATCGAATTTAATAAATAATATATTAATAAAAATATAAAATTAAAATCACCTCTAACAAACCACCATCCCCTAAAAGTATACCCAAAAGACCACCCCCTGAAAAAGTATACCATAAAACCCAGAATTAAGTATTAATTTTGATAGATTGTAACAAAATTAATTACTATATCAGCCTATGCCCATAAAGAGTCTCAGGGCTCAAACGCACAGCAAAAAATCAAATTTTTGTCTTACTTTTATGACAGTAAAGATATTGAACAAAATGCTTCTAATAAAATGTTTTTATATCGATTCAACCAGTGTACGAGTTTGTTCTAAACGACCCGTCAATGCTTACTAAATATATCCTTTGTATTCTCCGCACGTGCGGAAATAAACATCCAAATGTATTGATATTTATTAAAATAACTGTGCGGATATGGGTACCAGTATGTCTGCCAAAAATACCAATTCCCAAAATTAAATATATTTTGAACATCACTTCAGATTAGATTTCGCTGATAAATTATTATTATATTGTTTAATTCATTCGCATGACGAAATATTAATTTAACGATTCTTTAATTTGAAACTAATATAATTATAACTATTATATATTAAAATGACTATATACATATATGTTATTAAACATACATTAGTATATTTGCATATGAAATATAATCAACTTGCATAGTGAATTTGTTAAAGGATACAAATTATAAAATCAAAGTATAAGATATTTTTAAATCTATTTTTTTCTATATAATTATCTATAATATTATGAAAATAATACTGAGATATAGTAGAAATTAGAACTTTGCATATCTACTACATTTGTCATTGCTTATGTCAAATATTTAGCTCAAATACAAAATACATACAATTCCTGTCCTATAAAATAAATCTTATTTATTTTTATGTCATCCCAACACTTTTTAATAAATATATATCAATCATAAATTTAGATAAAATTTAACCAGGGTATAACATTTCATACGATAAGTGCTCTCTGAAAATGAATATCATATATAATTTTATTTTTTTGGCAGTAAACATCCAATTTCATGTTAAAATATATGCAATTTACAAATATGAATTTTTAAAATAAATATTCAAATTTGGCGAGTGGACGATAGTTTCTCGACAGGGATAGATAGAGTAGAAGCACGCCGCGCCGTGTGCAACATAGAAAAAAGATAAATGTAAGTCATTGATATTTTGCGACAGTTTCGACAGTTATTCACGTATCTACTTAAGTATATATCTTATCTATGATAGGAAACAAGTTTAGATTGGAATGCTCAGCTTGCCGCCAAAACTTATAATTATTTTGGAGCGCACATACGTTGTAGGGCGCTGCTATAGCTAAGAACAGAAAACAAGAACAGAAATAATTTTCTCTTGTCAAAGTCAGAATCTTCAAGAATTATAAAATCTTTCAGAATTACCTTTTAAACCGCCCTCATTGAAAGAATACTTATAAAAAATGTTTAAAGTGTCTATTTTCAAAGTAATTATTGCTATCTTGTAAGTTTAATTGAATGTTTATTTACTCAAACCCATGATAATTGTGAAAAAGTGGCATTAAAAACTTAAAAATCTATGTGAACTGTGAACTACAAAATCCATCGTGGATCGTGGCATAACGTCGGTTTTCAATGTTTCATAGGTATTTCATACATGTCCTTATATAAAATAAGGTTTCTTATATGCAACAAACTGTATTTTATTTAAAAAATTAAAAGAAAATAATAGATTTGAATAAATAATATTTGGCGACATAATTCCGGAAAAAGCCGAACCGCTCCGAAATTATCAAAAGCTTTGGAGAGCGACGGTTGTAAGAATAGGGCCACTAGTACTTACATTGTCCTTATGGGCACTTTCCAATCTAAACTTGTTTCTTTTTTCTATGGTATATATGATCTAGGATTATTAACCCGTTGACGTTTCTGTTAAAAGGGCATTTAATAAAGTCAAACTTCAAATTAATAATTACTACCTGATCACAACTAATTAATAGAATACGCATATAATTTTAGCATATATAATTATTATCAATAAAAATCGTATAAATCGTTTTTTATAATTTACACATAATCCCCATTCTCAGAGGATTACCTCAACATGATACATCGGCATTTCAGTTTAATACCCTCACAACATTTTAAGCCGTTACACTATTCAACCCATCGATGTATCACTTTTTTCTTTTTGCTCTTCGATAACGATGCGCCTTGTTTTCAGGTTCGACAAGCTGGCCGCCGAGCACCACTGTCTCCGAATCAAATTGCTGGGGGACTGTTACTATTGTGTGTCCGGACTTCCGGAAGCCCGCCCCGATCACGCCCAGTGCACAGTTGAAATGGGTCTGGACATGATTGATGCCATCGCGTAAGTAGATTCCTGTACCGTCAATTCGAACGTTTAATGTGCCTCTCCCGATCCGACCGAAAAGGTCGAAATGCCGGAGAGGCCAGGGGAAATTAGAAATCACCGCTGCATAATTGGATCTAATTTAAATTTATTTCAACGGATGCCCACCAAACATACTTGCACAAAAACTAGAGATGGGCAAACTATCACTATCTACGTTTTTTTTTCACAGTTCAGTTCGCAGCTGTTAACAATTTCAAAAAATAATTCGTGAATGGCTAAAACGTGAATGACAAAACGATCCGGCGCGAGGTGACATTGTCTGCTATTCTATATGCATGAGCGAATGCGAAAGCAAATCATAAAGTCGAAAATGAAATAACACCATAAGAATAACATGGACTGTATTAAATTACGCCTAGTATCGATACTAGGGGACAACTAGAATACTGGTCAAATTGCAAAATAAAACACTAAATTACCAGAATACACCAAAACACTTTTACTTTTACACTGGACGCGCGTTTCGCTAACCATGTTAGCATCATCAGCAGATTATTATAGACTAAACTAATTTTTTTTTGGTAAAAGGTGGTTTAAAAATCTTTCATAAACGAATAGTGATCATTCCCATCACCATCTCGAGAGAGACGGCCATAGAATTAACCCCTAGACAGTGTAGGTCTCGGAATTGTTACCCACTAAAAACAGTCCACCTCCGAGGAACCAGCTGCCGACGTATGGTCAGCTATTATTCCTGCTGATATCAGGGAGAAAGAGAAGGTTTATTTGTGGGTATTGGGAGAACTATTTTTAGGGTACTATTAGCATTTAAAAGACATTAGTTAATAATTTGGTTTGGTTAGAGAATTAAAATTCATATCTATAGGGAGTGATTAGAATAGGGAATGAAAGTTTGTTGTACGAAAATGCATTACTATAACATCTAGAACTATAAAATTTTATACAAGGGTTTATTTAGTGACATCAATAATATGAACAAAATATTTCTTCTTCAAACCATCCTTCAAGGTATAAAAAATAAAGTATAAAAAAAGTATTAATGCTCTTGAAAAATAAAAATAAATCGGGGGAGTATTCAAGAAAAGCGACAATTGGAAATTTCAAATATTCAATTGAAAACTTAATGTGTCAAAACTATTTATTTTAGTAATAAAGTTTATATGGCACCATAGGTAGGGTTCTATCTATAGGGGGTAAATAGTCATTTCACTATTTATTATTTTCCAGAGATTTTCTTTTTTTAGATTTTGCAAAATTTCGACTTTGGTTCGATTCCTGAAACACCCTATACATAATTAAGAAATAAAAAACCATATACACCCTCTATCCAACCATACCTAATTAGTTTCAGTCAATAGAAATAGTTTGAAATTTGAAAAAAAGTGTTAAAAAGCGGTAAAGAGAAAATATGCTTCTTTTATTGAGATCTACCAGCCCTGAAAATATTTGCACTTATTCAAGACTCACCCTGTATAATACCCAGAAAATCGACAATTGCTAACTTTCATATGAAATACGAGTAGCTGTAAAACTCTTAAAAACATAGTATAAATATTGCATTTGTAAGGCTCACTAGCTCTATCTATAAAGAAGTAAACACTCATTTAAATCAATGCATGAACGATTCGAGGTGTAACGCAAACGTAGTGGCGGGAAAAAACTAGTAAATTATAATACAAGTTAGACCTTCCGAAGATAGCAAAACATTTACTTTTTTATTTTTATTTTTAGAGTCTTCACAAATTATACTTCTTTTACAACACTTTTAGAATAATTAAATAATAAATTTTTCGTATTCTCGCCATTTAATAGAATGCACCAAGCCTATATGTTCGTTTTATTTCAGCACGATATCTATGAGAAATAATACCCTAGTTAATATAGGAAACTATAATAGCGAAATGGCAACCAAAGTTTAAAGTAACAATAAGTAAAAAATCACGGATAAATGAAAAGAACCACATCACGACAACCGCATAACCTAAACTCTGCTATTACCTTAAAATTCACGTTAACAGGTTATTGTCACCTTGAATAAAAAATCACGTTCCTAAAGGCATACCTGTGCATGTAAATTTACGTTTCAGCCCAAGTCAATTTCATATTGTGAAAAAATACATGGAAGAACTGTCTTAGGAATATTTTATATATCATACGAATTTGAAGAAAACGATTCAATCTGCACGGATTCTATCCATTCGATTTAAGAAAAATATACGTTCGTACCGAAGAAAAATATAATTTCAACACCGAGAAAAGCGTGTATCTAGTGTAAAATTACGGATAAATCCGATGCAGAGCGGGAGCATATTGGCTGTAAACAGAGATTTTTATGCTTCTCGCGTTCAGTGCACCGACGTGATTTTCGAACGGAATATTAGCATGATGCCGTATAATATTGATACTAAGAAGGTTGTCAAATAAGATTTTCAGAAGCAAAATAAAGAAATGTATTTTTTAGTATCCCAATTTTTAGTATAAGATTTTTACAATGATGTCTAGGTGGCCATATTTTATTATTTTTTTTGTGTAAAAATTAACTCTTATATATAATTAAAAAAACATTCAGGTATACTTAATAAAAAAAACATGACAACACCCGGCATTTCATCAGCCGACTATTTTTATTTAAAATAAAAATAGTGTGGGTACCTAGGTCGACTCAGCCTTAAATGAGTACTTGGAATTCACAATCCTGAGGTAATAATAGGCGGTTGAAGCGTAGTGCTAGCCACATTACCTTCCTCAGTATACCGAACGGCTCTAGTATAGCAAGCTGAACCTTGCTACTCCCAAGGCGTTAAATGCTATATACGGGAGCTATTATTATTATTATGTTTACAATCAAGTAGTCCTGATGGAAAACAAGGTTGTGAGAAAAAAGTAAAATACCCTAAATTTTATCTTCTTCATCATGTTATTGTGATTTTACCTGTAATATATGATATTTATATTACCAATGGACTTTTTAGAAAAAGGAAAGAAATTATAATTAAAAAAAAGATCGATATATTCCATAATGACTAAGATATTTTTAATTGCTTTATAACAACCATGTACTGACATTTAAAATAGCTGTTTTGGTCTAGAAAAGCCATTAACGGTAATCAGTTTTATGAAACACAATAATACCTACTTCATTGGTGATATAGGGTCAATCGGGGTAAATAAAAATAATTTTTGCAAACTTTGTTTTAAAATTATCTTGATAAGGTACCTGTAACTCAAAATAAGTTTTCCTATGGATGGCGGTTCCTTCTCAACTTAGTATGTGAAAATATACATAAAAAACATGACGATTCTCATTGAAGTAGAGAAAACGATTATTTTAATGCGTTTCCATTTACCCCATGAATATTTTCATTTACCCATCACATTCGGGTAAATAAAAACAGCTTAGTTTTCGCTATGAATAGCAGTTGAGGTGAACATAGGGTAAATGAATATTAATAGGAACATCACATTTTAGGCAGTAACTTAGATATTTTAATATTTCTGAAAGCAGCATCTTTTAATTTATTAAAACGTAAAACAACGAGATCCTGCGCACGTGAGATCGTGAGATTTAATACAAAATTGTTAGATCTCACGATAAATCGTGGGATCTGGCACCCCTGTACTGACTTGAGGAAAAAGGAAACATGTTTTCCTTTACCTCGAACATGTGTTTCGGGGTAAATGAAAACAAGTCTGAGTTTTTATCCGATTAATATTATCAATTTAATCTCTAAATCAAAGTGTCAACAGATCCTTTGGTTATCAAAAATCAACTTAAGATTGACAATGTCAATATATTTTCTGACGAAAAAAAAAGCTTTGTTTGCTTCGGCAAAAATGCTAGATAAATTTTATGGTAGTAAATAACTTAAATCAACCTACCTTCACTTTAACCATGCACCGCTAGGATACAATATAAATATTAGCAACAGTGTTGCTATCGACAGACATATATACAATTTAAAAGCGGGATATGTGAATAGATAATTTGACGTTTTTCATTTACCCCTAGCTTACCCCGATCAACCCTACGTTTTTCATTATAAATAAATCATTAAATTAATAATTTAACCATTGATATTATATTATATAATTTATAAAATTAGATTTTCCATTCCAGCTCCCTCACATACTCGTGCGAAATATATACACGTATCTGTTAGTGTTTGTATTCACGCCCACTTTTTGAGTTGTTATTTTATTATGTGTATTTTCAGAACGAATTGTGGTAAAGTATATTTATCTTCAATCGAAACATAGATATTAAGTTAATATTAACGAAATTGAAATAAAGTTTGTTAGTGAACAATTTTAGGATAGAAACTTTCTCTTTGATAATTATCCACAAATATATTGAGAGCTTTATAGCTCCTTATAATATCTTCTTTATTCCACAACCCAAAACAAAAGGTAACGTAGTTCAGCATTGTTTGCCCTTAATTATTTAATTTAACCAATGAAATGTCAAATTATTTTTATTTATAATCGTGGAATATGATCCGTATAACCAGTTATTGAGATATTGATATTCTTACAAACGATCGTTGAACTAAGAAATATTTCCTCCTTTCGCCATAGCTGCAATTCGCGCTCTTTGTTAAATGTAGCCTGACTAAATGATAAAATTCATTATCTCATTTGTTTTGAGCACTACGAAGAAAATGTAAAACAGGATAATTTAAGTAACTCTACATAATTTAAAATAAATTTTATGTACACGGGATTCTCCAAACAAATGTGACGAATATAACACAAAATGATTTATTATGACACGTTTGACAATTTAAAATATCGATCTACTAGTCAACACGCAACTTATTTTTAATAAGTATGTATTATTATTAGCAATATTAATTGTATGAAATCGAAGTAACTAACAAACTAGTTGATTTTGGATATTATCATTTTAAAATAAGTGCTTTCGACCAATTTGTGTACATGTCCATAAGTGTTAAAAATAGTTGTTCATCTAGAATCATCTCCTCGATCAAATAATTTTCTATACAAAAAATCCCGCTCTTATATAAGAAAATATATATTCCTTACAAAATGGTGTATACCATCCTGGCAAACGAAACCTTGGGTCGACGTTTACATGTATACGAGTGAATCTCTATGGAAATCTAGTAAGTCGGATAGAGCAAAAATACGAAGTATTTATTACATAGCCACTTAATCTGACACTAGATTCCATGCGCTTGGGAAAACACTTACATCCCGTTAATCCAGTATATCTTATTTTACTAAGCGTGTTGACCGTACTCTTCGTACACATGAAAATCGGCACCCAAGGCCAGAAATTCCAACCCTAAAATACATTACTTAATCATATAAGAATTTACTAAAAAAAATAACAGTTGTAACAACTTCTCTATTTAATTAACTAATTTCCATAATATTTAATATAATCAAACAGATTTAAAACTATTTTTAAATGATTTGTAGCTGATTTACAATGACTGCTTTAAATGTCAGTTAAAGCAACAATGCCAAATGAAAGCACTATATTAGATCGTTTTTTTAAACGAAGCTTCAATCGAGTTCAGAGTCCAACTTGTTACATACAATAAGATAAGCGAATATCTTGGAGACCGAGATTTCTTAGCTGATGATAAGTCAGAAGGTTCGTTATTAATATCTCATGTAAATTTACATAATACATATTATTTTTCATCTCTTGCCTAATTTAAAAGCTTCAAATTCAAAGATAATAGCGCTCTTACTGCGAAATGCCAAAGTTAGTGAATGTTGACTTTATCCATTGAATGTCGATCCATATGAAAGCCTCGGTGAAACACCAAGCATTAGTTAATTTTATTAACAATAGTAGCGAACACAGTCGTGTTTTAATTAATAATTAATACACCTGCTCTTTAATATTTGTTTTCATGCCCACATCTGGAGTTGTTAAATACATTTACTTTGATAATTGTGGAAATACGTATTATACTGCTTTAATAATAATTTATTTTACTAATAGAATTTCAAATAAGTCAGTGTAAATAATTTTGGTATAAACAACACCGAAACTTTTTCGTAATTAACTGCAGATACATAAGAGCTTTACAGCTACTTTTATCTACTTTATACGACGACCCAAAACAACGTTTCGAGTTCTTTTCCACATAACTTCTATTCCCTTGAAAGCAACCCTCATTTCTGTCTATCCGATATCCTGTCCCACAGGTGATCCGTTACACACACAGCGAATCTATATTAGAGAAAACATTTCGACAAGTTCTTCAGCATTGTTTGCTCGACAACTCGAAATATTTAATCAGATATGACTATCACAAGAACACTTTGTAAATACAGTGTTAATAACTCTACAACAGTGAGTAAAATAAATGAAATGATTATATTCATAAAGAATAATAGAATATAAGAATTCATAGAAAAATAAACAAATATAATTTTAAACAAATAAATACAAGAAGCTGAAAAAGGGGCCAAAAAAACCCTACATATATGCTTATTCTCTGCATTAAGTTCATCAGACTGAAGGGAACAGCCATTCGACAACCGGTTTCGGAGATTTATCTCCATCGTCTCCTCAATCTGACAAAACGAAAAGCAGAGAATAGCATTTGAGTACAAAACGTACTACTATGGATAGTGATAGACGCTCTTTCCATCTAGCGGTAACTGTGACAATCACAGATCGTACCGCCAAAATTAAAACCAGCGGCCTATTGGACAAACATGCTTGCTTCATCCACGTTACCGTTTTTGGCCCCTTTTTCTGCTTCTTGTATTTTGTTTGTTTATATATACCCTACCAAAACTTTCAGCTCCATCTACGGTAACATGGATGAAGCAAGCAAATATAATTTTGTTTATTTTTATATTTTAATATAATAATAATAGCTCCCGTATATAGCGTTTAACGCGTTGGGAGTAGCAAGGTACAGCTTGCCATGCTAGAGCCGTTCGGTATACAAGGAAGGTAATGTGGCTATAATGTGGCACTACGCTTCAACTGCCTATTATTACCTCAAGATTGTGAATCAGGCGTAAGCGATGGCTATGAAATGAAGATCGCTTTCATTTTATATGTAAAATTATTTAGGGAATGTCATCGATGTTCATTTCCAAGCCAACTAGACGCCGTTTTTTTTCGATGATACGGTATAATTCTTACATAAAATGTAAATAGCATTAGACGAATTAAAGCAAAAAAATATGAATTTCTTATTATTTTTAGTAACACCTTTATCCTTAAAACTTAATTTTGTATTGCAAATATACCAATTTTATTGTTATTTTATTCATATTGTATTGAGCCATCACTTCAATATTTGATATTCATTTGGTACTATAAATAATCAACTATTCATTAAAAATTACTGAACCAAAAATATGTTATGCTTTACATACATTATATTATCAAACAAAAACACGAACAAACACAACGAAGCATTTTAGGACAAACATTTAGGCGAACTTTTTTACACATCTTTATCTTCAGAATATGCTGCCTCAGTTTCCCGAATACAATTCGGAATACCTTATATATCGACCGGTGTGAATTCCAAAATTGTTTGTGTATTTCATTTGAAGGGTCCAGGGGAAAAACTTGATAAGCGCCAATTTCTTAATTTTTGGATTTTAAATATTGTAGTAGGTCTAACTGGTCCCTATATAATGTATAAACTCTGCAGGGCAATAATTTGTTAAATTCTATGATATACATATGCCTAGTCAAAATTTAGAATATACAGAAAGAACCTGATAACCACCAGTCGTCCAGTGCTCTTCTGTAAAATTAGTAAAATGACGCTTATCGTGTTTTTTTCCTCTAAACTCTTCATTTGTATACATGTAAAATATTTTTAACTTCTACGTTACGTATACTTGTAGCACATTCCATAAATATGTATCATATTAAAAATTATAATTTGTTATTTTCACAAAGAGTCACTTCGTATATTTCGATCTCACATCATGAATTTAATATTATCAGCTAAAAATACTACTCCAATATTCCGACTTTTCTCGAAATCCTTCTTCATCTAACGACTTATAACAAAGCCCTGAATTCCTTTTGCTACTCCTTTTATTCCCTGGAAAGCCCTTCCATTCCTAGATTTTCTATATCATATCCCACAGGTGATTCGTTACATACACACGCGCTGTTACACACATATACGACTCAATTTCACAGGAAATATATAAGAAAGGTTTTACAACATTGTTTGATTTACGAGCAGAGACAAATAATCAGCTTTGACGGAAAGAACAAATTGGTAATACGAATAAAATAAAACCCTGAGAGATAAAAAATAGGATAAGCAGAAATTCCGTTATTCAAAGTCATTCATCTAAAAGCAGCAATCTAAATTTCAGATTAGTCCGTGACGTGATGAACGTCAACGTTAACATGCGAGTCGGTATCCACACAGGGAGGGTTCACTGTGGCGTCTTGGGTCTGAGAAAATGGCAATTCGACGTCTGGTCCAACGACGTTACTCTAGCCAATTACATGGAGAGTGGCGGAATTCCAGGGTAAGAAACTTGTAATTGTAAACTATGATCAAATTAAACTAAATTCAAAATAAAAACAGATCAAAAATAAATAGGCTAAAAAATAAGTATTAATCTACATTTTTCTCATCAATAATAAGATATTTAAAAAGGTAAATAAATCACTGTTGAGCATTTTGGTGTTATAGATATTGAAAATAAAATGTATACTTGTCCATATTCTTACCTCCCTCTGATTACATTTTTGGTACTCTCTGATTGCATTTTTTAATATTTTCTTACATGAATACCTCTGTCAATCACTAATTGCAAAACGTTATTGCTTAATGATAATAAATAAGATAATATTTTTTAACTAATATAAAAAATAAACTATTATTATTTTATGTTAATCAATTATTAATTGAATTAATTATTAATTTAAAATTTATTAATATTGATATTTAAATGAGAAAAAAACAACCGAATCTCTTCAACAAAAACCTTCAACAATTTTTTGAAAATAGATTTGTCTTATTGTGTTTTATTAATTCAAGATTTCTTCCTCTTAAAATAATAATTAGTAACAATTGACATGGTTTTAATTATAAAGTTATTATTAATATAATAATTTTAGAACTATATTTTGGAATTATAAAGAAATGTGTATCAGATACAACAGTATTATGATATCGAAAACCAATAATATAAAAATGATTGTCAAACTATAAAATAAATTTTATTATCTCTAAATTATAAATATATACAGGCTAAGGTCCATAAATTTTCTACTAAATATCTCGTATAAGATCTCTATATCCTATGCATTTCCCTACAATGTACCTGAAGCAGGCATTGAATTTATGTTACGAGATACAAATACGCGTCCCATAACGTTGTATCCTATTGGCTGATAATGCCATTATCCATGTCACTCACTTCGTCTTGTTTAAGTCTAATCCAGAACAAACAGAGGTAATTAAATGACATGAGAACAGTAGCCGATTAGACCAGCAAAAGTCAACTAAACGCCTACTTCTTTTCATTTATAGTATCCTTAGTGATATGTATTTAATAAATTTACGTATGATATATTTTTATTCATGTATTTTTCTTATGTATAGTTGTATATTTCGTGTATCATATTTTCTTAGCCACATATTCTATTAAAGTAGATTAAGTATTTGAAAAGGAGAGCAAAATTATATTTTTAAGTAATTTTGATAATATTAATATTGTCTTCCTATTATACAGGGTCGCTGTTATGTATGGGAACGGTCGATTATTAGGTAAAATATAAGTCGGTTAGCTTAGGTTACAAAATCGTGGCACATTAAAGTTTCAGTTTTTTAAATGAACCCCCCTGTAGATTATTGCATATTTCGGTTCTTTCTTTAATTCTAAGCAAAAATCGAGATACACTCAATGTACCTCAAACCAACCGTTTCCAAGTTATTGACTTTTGAAAATATCACTTAAATAATTTGATTTAATTAATATCGATGTGTTCGGTTTAAGCGTAAATATATATTTTTTTTAATTTAAAATAAAAAATAACTTTTTCTATAATATTTTTTCTAAATTTTATGTTTATAATTACGAATGGTTGGTTATTTTCTTTAGATAGAGATGAACAACGGGACGTATATTCCCTACTAAAGCATTTAGTATCAGTATGCGGTTCCTGCTTTAGAGGTAAACAATATGGTCAATTGTGTTGTAATATGCAGATGTAAATATTTCAATAAAGTTGTTTCAATTTGGTTAAATCAACCACAATATTCGACCAAAATAAGCATCGTTATGCGGTTAGAATTTGGAATATATTAACAAATCGGTTGATCTTGAATTTGAACTAATATACAGATACTATTCATGTTTATAATCTGCAATACTTTGCAATACTTTTGCAAAAATTGGTTATAACATTTAAAAAAGGTGTTATAATTAAGGGTTAAAAAGTTCGATTAGACTCTTTCCGATATTGTAAATATATATTGAACATTTAAATTCGTTTATATAATTATTTAAAATAATGAATTACTTAGTTATCTTATGAATAAAATGTTTAAACCTTTAGTCATGCATATTTGTGGTTAAAACTGCTTGTCATTTCTAAAACATTTACGATTTAAACAAGATCGATAATCGATAAAAATCGATAAAAAAAACTATAATAGAAAAGTCAGTACCAACAGAATTATAAAATGTTTAGTTAATATCAAATAAAAATAGTAACTGTCTAAATCGTAAAGTGTAAAAATGTGCATCCTTAAGAAACTGTACCTAATTAAAATTACTAGATATAAACATCAGTTATAATTTTACCTTTTAAATTTACAAACATAAAAACTAAAAAAGTTTTAAAATGAATATGTTACTAGAAAACAATTATTGAAATATATAATGTTGAATATCGATTTATTATTTAGTATTTTTTTTAATAAAACACGCTTTTAGATGTATCAAAAAACTTTTAATAAGAGTAACTTTAACTCTACATACCTATATGTTTCGGCTTGTTAGGCCTTTTTAAAGAGTTTTTTAAGAACTCTTTTAGTTCAGTTCTTAAAAAACTCTTAAAAAAGGCCTCTTCCTTCAATTTTAAGCAATAATCGTAATACACAAAGTACATAAATTGATATTTTCAAAAGTCAATATCTCGGAAACGGTTGGCTTGAGGTACATTTGGTGTATTTCGATTTTTGCTTAGAGCGGGTTCTATTTAAAAAAATGAAACTTTTATGTGCCACTACTTTATGGCCCACCCTGTATACTTAAATTTATTACTCGCTAATAGATATTTAAAAATCCTATAACTTTTGTATTTAACTTCGACCGTTTAAAACTCGTCGACTTGACAAATAAATAAAGCTGTCTCTTTAGTTGTGAGGAGTCGATATTTTTTAATTCTTTTTCGTGTCGATTGCTGATTGAATTGAAGCCAGAAATGGCTCAAAACGAAATAAGTAAATTGCCAAAGATATTCAGGCTGAGGCGACAATCACCATTATCCAAACTACTCCATTTAAATCCCGAATAACTTATGAAAAGGAATACAAAAATTTTCAAAAATGGAAGCAATTGAAAAACGTGCGAGAAGAAATAAAGTTTTTAACCTATCCTCGCTGTTAAAGTATCATTTAATCTACCTTTGCGGTTAAAGAACTATTTTATCACCTATTTTTGATAGATATAAGGCAATTTTCACAGTTGCTATGGAAAAAAAATAAGTATATATGTTCATCTTTAAAATCTCTCTATAAAATTAAATTATAATTACATCAATACATTCAACAGAATAATTTAATAGATAGAAATGTTAAACTAAAAGTACAAGATGATATTTAAAATTCCCAGTAAAATGTAATTTTTATAAAAAATGGAGAGTAAAAATAATCATATTTTTTTTCTGGTAAATACTTAGCTCGTAACTACGTTGCTACCACAAAATTAAAATTAAATAAAAATAATTAAATAAAATAATCGAAATTACGTAAGAATTGAATAGTCGAAAATGTATTTAATATATAATAGGAAAATCCTTTTCAATAATTTATACAGGGTGTTTCAAAAAACATGTGCCATCTCCCGTGGGGAGATTCCACATGTAAAACACAATTTTGCCAACAAGAGAAAAGGTCTGTGGCGCACATGTTTTTTTAGAAAATTATTCCTGTAATAATCCATATGCACGTCCTTGGTGAATATGCCTATACTGTTTTAGCATAAAAATATGTTGCACTTTTTGTAACTTTTACCCTGAAAATTTTATTCGAATCGCTAAAAGCATTTGGAAGGAAATTATAATAAATCGAAAAAAAAATTATCCCCCTGAAGCTACGTAACAAAGCAGAATTGGACCTATGTTGATATGAAAAATAAATCTTATTTTTACATGATGAATGTCCTTACGAAAGATGGCAGATGCTTTCTAAAACACCCTATATAAGATTTTTGTCTTCTGATAATATAACATTCAATCAAATTGCAGAAGAAATGAATCTCTATGTAGGTACTAAAGATCAACTACTTAATATTTATAATCAATTTTATTATACAAATTGTATAATTAACAAGAAAGTTTGAGCATATCTAAAATAGATACAACATTTTTTTATCGAAAATCAGACGCCAAATTTTAATGCTATTTTTTAATTTGTAAATTTATAAATAATGTCCTTTTTCTACTATAATATGAACGCTTTTTGATGAGATATATTTCTGTGTGTACCTTTTAAAAAAGGTTATACGAGATACGAATAACAAACAAGTAAACAATAAGAAATTTTACATGCAAACAAGATATGAGGGGAATAAAAAAGGTTACCTACCAATTGGGGATGGAAACAACAAGAAAAATCCATCAGGTTAGCACAAGGATAGAATTAAATTTGGCGGGGTTTTACCGAAACGAGACTCCGAAATAAATACGAAATGCCTTATATTTCAGACTTTTAGCATATATGTTTATATAATAAGCTTTAAATGCTACTTGAACAAATACGACAAAACGATTTATAAAAGAATTTTAGTCATAAGTTTAAAAATTAATTCTTAAAATAATAACTTGGAGAAATTAGATAATTTTAAGAGAATACCTTTTTACATAACCAGTATTTATTTCAGTTTTATAAATACTATTCATATTTCATAAATATTAGAATGTTTGCAGTTTTGTTTCCAATCATTATAAATAAAGCTAAAATAATACACTTTTCAAACAATGATTGAGTTTGAGTTTAAGAGATAAGACAGGTGAACCTCAAAGAAAAATAATTAGTGACAGTATGCATTAGTGACAAATTTCTAATATCGCTATTAAAAAGTAGGGGTTGATGGTAGAAGGGTGAAAAATTAGGGTTGTAGGTCCAGTTTTTGCTGTATATCTTCGAAACTAAATGTTTTTATTAAGTCTAACTATATCTTTAAATTAATTTTAATATGTAAAAAAAGATTTAGAATCATGTTATACTCTTTGAGATATAATATTTCAGTTTAATTAAAAATATGGATTTCATCATTAACTTTTCGAAAATAATTAAACAAACTTTTTAGTAATTAAAAAAAGTTTCAAGTATCACACTTTAATTTGTTATGTACTAATTGTTTCGTTATTAGAGAAAATTATATAAAAAAGTCTGTTACAATTCCGTTAGCTATATTTAGTTAGCATTATTTTATACTTATTACACTAAAAGATTATCTTCGATGTTCAATGACCTAGGGTAAACTAGGTAGTTATTTGGACAGATTTATTTTAATTTTAAACTGTCACCGTACGAATATTTTTCAAGCTACATTAATCTGCCTGTGGCAAATGGTAATATTTTGGATGACGATTTTTGAAAATTGCCAATATTATGGATATTTTCCCAATATTATGGATATTATGAAAAAAACATTGGCAGGTTATCAAAAACTTAGTTATTGGACAAAAAGTTTAGACGTTGATTTAGACATTTCAGTTCTTGGACAACCATGAAATGATGATACTAAGTTGACAAGAAATTGAAATCCATTTTCAAAAACGTTTATTTACTTAAAAATTATTATAATTATCCGTCGTTACTGAGTTTATGTTTGAAATTTTTCCAACTCTGTTTTCCATAATTTCAGGATTTTCATCTGTTTTCTTTTTCATTGTCTATTTTCTCTATAATCTCCATCTGATTTGATAATTTACATTGTTAAACACTTTCTAGCGGAATGATTTTTGAACATTCATTTAAAAACATTCTGATTTGTTTTCTAATGCAACAACGTCTGCTTCAGGATTGATACTTGGAATATCTATATTTTTTTCTCGTTAATAGCGATAAAACCTAGGTTTTACCGCATTTCAGACATTTACAGTGACATATACATGTTTTTTTCTTTATTCTAATATTAAGGTTTCCCCAGTTACACCTGGCCTCCTCTATTATTGGACCACCCTGTATTTTTTCTCGAGTATTTCTCGAACCAAAATCAATATTTTCTGCGGTATTATTAATTAAAAATTGTCGATTTTAAATATCATTGAAAGTTCATACACAAAAAAAATGTTAATAACCACGATTTGATGTATAAAAATCTACAGTTTTGTCACTTTCAGCTTGAACCAACTAAAACCTAAAATTCAAAATGCATTTTATTTTCCCGGTTGTACATTTTTAGACGTCGTGCTTACTTATCCGCTTTCAAAAGCTCAAACGTAAATATACGCCATTTCTGACTCGTTTGCCTCGCATCTAAAAGCTTTAAATTGTTACAGGAGAGTACACATAACGAAGGAGACCCTCAAATGTTTGGATAATGATTACGTAGTGGAACCGGGAAATGGAGGTGACCGAAACTCATATTTAAAGGACAACAATATAGATACGTTTCTCATTGTTGCGCCATCATATAGAGGGGTAAGTATAATAAAATATATTTTGTGTTATTTTTGTAATATTTATTTTCTGTACGAGCGAGTGGAGCTAGTGAAAGACATGCTGTTGCCAGATTAACAATTTTATTAAGCATTGTTGCAATAGAGGCTACTTTTTTAGATTTCTTAGGTTGGTGTGTAAAAACGGCTTTTTCGTTACTCGAGAGAAAAGAGGACAGTGCGATCAAAAAAGGACTGTCCTCTGACTTAGAGGACAGTTGCCTAAGTAGAAATAAGATTTATTTCTTGTATCAACATACGTCCGATTCTGCTTTGTTTTATAGCTACATGGTGTTAAAGTGTTATTTTTTTCGAATTATTTTAATTTTCTTCCAAGTACTTTTAGCAATTCGTCTAAAATTTTGATGGCAATAGCTACTATCAGTTCAAGTTATAATAAATTGAAAAAATTAAGACTTTAATCTCTGTAGCTACGAAGAATTTAACCTCTGAATGAAACCTCTAAATTTAACTGCTGGAGAATTTAACCTCAGTAACTACTCTATAGAAACAAAGCGCAGAATCGCATCTATGGTGATTTAAAAAATAAATCTTAGGGAATCGCCCCTGTACAACTAATTGTTTTTTGAAACAATTAATTGTACTGTATAATTAACTAATTACAGCTATCAATGTGTACATACAAAAAAAATGTATGATTCCTAGTACATGCAGCAAAGAATCATTCCGCCAGTTATTCTCCGAATTGCTCAGATTATAAAAAAAGAGTTATTGAAGAGCATAATTTTTATATAAAATAAACTTAATTGCTCTTGTAAAATGTTTTCCTTATAAAATAACTACGATTGAAAAAACTGCTTTAGCAAACTAATAATTAATTAATTTTATGTGTACATTTGGCATTTAATTACGTATAATTATAATTAATATTTGATACTAATATAACAGACACTTGGCATTGATCGGTATGTTTGATATTAATTGCTGTCAATCAATTAAGCTGATAGACATTGAAACTAGATATATTCTCTTTTTGTACGTTTCCATAAATTCTATTTATCTAATCTAAAACATTTTAGGCGAGTCTCGCTTTACATTCTAGCAGTTTTAATTTAAAACACATTGAGAAAAAATCATGCTGCAAACTTTTCTTTTGTAACAGAAATACATAGTAATATTATCAAATTTGTTTCTAGGGAACAACATCTTATCAAAGTCATTCCATGAATGGCAATGTTGCTAAAGAAATGAGGATTATGGGACATGGTTCCCAACAAGGACATTCCACAAAGTAAGTAAAGGTTATTAATAATAAAGATTTAATATTAAAACCCAGAGTTAAGAGACATCGAGAATGTCACGACAATTGAAATGTTGACGCGCCACCTAGGGTCTTGACGTCGACTTTCTAAGTGAATGTATCTACTAATAAGATTAAAAAAAATTATAGCTCTTGTTATAGTAAAACGTTATACAGGGTGGCCCGAACTGTATTCCGGAAATTTCGGCAGCATATTCGGCACATAAAAATAAGTGAAATAGTTCGTATAAACTAATATCCTAAAATGCTTCGTTTCAGAGATAGAGGGTGTAGACGTTTCATTTTTATTTCAATTTTTTCCTAATAATTTCTGAACTAAATTCGGTATTTTGATGAAAAATACTATCTGGGTTTTTTTAACATGAGAAATTTGATTTCGATGTATATATGACTCCTACTTGTAGGGGGCGCCACCTACATATTTTTAACTGCTTTGAAGAGTAATAACTTTTCGTCCGTCCCTGTATTACACTAATGAGTGAAAAAATATGCATTTGTGCCTTTTCTACTAAAAAATGTCTCTTGATAAAAATCGTTGCGAGCAACCGTTCTCGAGATATTTGGATTCTTAATAATCAATCCATGTCATCAATGACAAAAATTAAAGATTTTCTCACTAGAAGATATTTGACTGAACTAATAATTTTCGAATTTTGGATTCGAAATTTCGCGGTTTTAAAATATTAATTAATTTAAAAACAAAAGGTGTGCAAGGCAATGCAACTCTAGTTAATATTAAATTTATTTAAGTACAAATATAGTTTTTCTTGTTATTTTTACGTAGGACGTGTCTTGGTAAAAATTACAACAAAATAACTATTTTAGAGATGTTTGTATTTGAAATAATTAATGCATGTCAGTTTTCTAAATGGCAAAAATTTTAGGAAAATTGTCATAATATGGTTTCGGTAGAACCTTTAGCATCAACTCGCTTTAACGGAAAGGCGATTTTTCAAAAAATTTCGAAATTTCGAGAAAATTGGCAGTTAGGTTTTAAAACAGCTTCTATTGAACCTTTGGTATCAAAATCTTATGAAAATTATTAATTTACTCAAAAACGTATCTAGTGAACATCTTAAATTTTTATCCTTGATGGCATGTATTGATTATTAAGACTCGAAATATCTTGTTCGCGGCGATTTTAACCAAGAACTTTTTTGCGTAAAATAAGGCGTAAATGTATTTTTTTCATTCAGTAGTGTAATACAGGGACGGGCGAAAAGTTATTACTCTTCAAAACAGTAAAAGAACATATCGGTGGCGCCCCCTACAGGTAGGAGTTATATTGATATCGAAATCAAATTTCTCATGTTAAAAAATTCCCAGATACCAATTTTCATTCAAATATCGACATAAATTCAAAAATTATCGAAATAAAAATGAAACTTTTACACCCTGTATCTCCGAAACAAAGCATTTTAGGATATAAGTTTATACGAACTTTTAACATATTTTTATGTGCAGATCCTGCCGAAGTTTTCGGAATACAGTTCGGGCCACCCTGTATAATTAAAACTTGAAACCATAGAATATTTTATTAATAACATAGAATTAACATTCTCAGCTAAAAATTATCCTCTACTTCGCTGAATGACTTAATTACTGAATCAGAATCAGAAATATCAGAATCAAAATTCTTTCAGTATTCTCACTTTGGATCAACATTTTTGAATATTAAAATGACATTTAAAGAGGTGTCTGTATCCCAGTTTGCGAATCCCAGTCTAAGCTAATATCTAAGTTCTAAGTCAAGTAATAAAAGCTTGTTTACTTTTTTTAAAGTGTTGCAAAAATACCCGAAAATGTTTTTGCTTATTTTAACAAGAATATATCACTGATATATTCTAACATTTTAAAAAAGTCTGTCTAACATAGTCAAATGTACTGCAATTAATTGAACACAGCATAGCCTAGTTTTTAAACTCTAATCTAACTTGAAGCCTTTAAGGTTTTTAAGTTATTTAGAGTAATGATTTTTAGAGTGCATTATTATACAACTATTCACGTCAAAAATATATTTTTTGTGAAAGCGTTTCGAAATTGACAGTTTTTGATATTTATTTGAGATTCGAAATGACATTCTTTTAGGCACTAGTATCTAAAAGTGACACTTGTTTAGGCACTATTGCCTAAGAGTAAAAAATGAAACGTTAGAAAAAATGAAAATATTTATTTATTATCAATCTTAAAGGTACAATTATTTAAATTATTAAAGTGAATACAAGAGGCATCCAACTTTTCGTCTCTAAGAGAAATGCAAGTTGTAGGAGTCGGAATAAGTAAATTTTGTATATGGCGTATCCTTCTGTCCCATGATTCTTTTTGCTATTTCGGTTTTCTGCTCAATTGAATTTTCAATGTAACCTTTAGCAACCGAGCTTGATCGCCAACCTCCATGTTGCTTTAAAACTGTTATGTCCGCCCCTGAATCTGCCAGCATTGTTGCAGAGCTGCGTCGGGAACAATGACCAGTGTATTCAATGGCGTTGGAGAGTCCAAGAAATTCCGCTATCTTTTTGGCATACCCCAATTGTAATGATGGGCAGAAATCAAGAAACTGGCAGAAGTCAAGAAAAATCGCTGATTTGTCACATTGAGTGGTCGAAGTTTTGCGTACTTCCGAAATACATGTAAGAAATTGATACCATCTATTGGTCCCTCGGTAATTGTAAACACTCTTAGAAAATGAGTTTTGTATTCGGAATCTTCACATTAATAAATGACTCACAATCTTTAATGGCATCTACGGTCAAAAACGTGATTTCTTCCCTCCTACATGCTCTAAATACTCCAACGATTAAGACAACTTTAGCTAACAGAAATTCTTTGTCATCGGCTTCTTTCATAAAGCGTTCTATTTCCAGTTTTGTAAATACTTTTGATTTCTTTGCCTGATATCCGGAAGCTTTTCTTTTTAAAAATGTATTGAGGTTTGTGAATTTGCTAATATCTACGTTTCTTCAAATCATGGTACGGAGCATCGAATATTTACTCCACAAAGTTGACGGCTTTAAGGTAGTGGATAACTTCAGGAAATAGCTAGCAATATCTTTTCTGTGAAATTCTCAACGTGTCTTTTTTTGACCCAGGTTTCAAAGTTGTTGTAGATGGTCTCGTATAAGTTTTTCGACTTCTCGGGCACTAACGTGGATAGCGCAGTTTCAGCAGCTTGTTGAATATCGAAAGATTCGTCATTATCACTCATTTTTTCACAAAATTTTGTAGGAAATACGGCGACGTTTGAACCTGACAGAACTTTGTCATTAAACAATGCATAAACAATGCCTTAGAAACTGATTACCAGAACATTTTAAAAAATGTTTAAAAATAAATAATAATAATAGCATGAAAATCCCAAATTATCCGCTTTCACAAAAAATCTTGTATGAAATTCGTTGCGAAAAGAGTGTTTTAAGCACTCGACGCATTGTCCATTGTCTGCCGAGTTGGACAATTTTGCGTCCCGTGCTTAGAACACATTGATTTCGCAACTTGTCACATAAATAGCTATTTTAAATGAAGGTACTAAATAAATCCTAATGCAGAAGCACCTTTATTAATGTTCACGCATTGGCTAATTTAATTTTATAACGGTCATAATATTTAAAAAGGCCTGTAAGAATAATTGCTCTCCTACTCAACTTTATAGTTCTCTCTTTAAGTTTTCATCATCTGGGGTTATAAAATAATTTCCATTGCGCTATAAAACGTCGGGTGGGGATAAACGAGATTTTGCCAAAAACATTCTGAAGTTTTTATGAAAGGAAAAATACGGCGGGGTAAATATCAGAACTCTGCTAAAACGGTTTTACTGCTTTTTGAAAAATAGATGAGCATAAGTTGATCTTTCACTCGAATGAAATCAAAACTTTTATTGTATTCTGGATAATTCCCGGAATTTTTATCTCTATAAAAATAAACCATTTTAAAGCATATAATAAATATTTCTTTAAATATGTATTATATGCTTATATATGCATTACATTACCGGCTAAAATGAAGATTACTCATATATTTTGGTAATTTATTTATTTTTTAGAATCTAATTTAGCAGTACTAATAATACCTTCTTCATTATGTCATATTAACAAAAGCGAACAGACAGTAATCGCAAAACATTTTCCGATGCACGTCATGAATCTTATCGAAATTGAAACTAAAGTCTATAAACCTGACTAAATGAAATGTTGGCAAAAATGTTTAAATTTGTTGTATAATTTAAGATACCAAACAGTTCTTCATTTGACTTAATAGCAGAGTGAGCAAATGATTGTAACAGATATTTTATTTAGATTAAAGCTGCAAAAATTACTTTAACCCGAATTTTATTATCGCTAAGTTGGTCATATATCATATCCTAATGTCAGTCATTATTTGGTATAACATCGTGTTATTGTTGAATCTTTGTGAGTAATTCTCGTTCTTTAGCCTATTTTCATAGTTTTTTTTTAAATTGTACTTTAAAAACACAAACAGTTCTTTTAAGAACTAAATTTTCGAGTTTTTGTATTGCATTTCTTGAAATTGTGTGTTTAAAACATGCCGAAGCATTTAAACAGTCGAAGCAAAGAGCTTGTAGCTTCCCTGATAAACTATTTTAAACGAGAACATGACAATAAAGGACCTTTATTACCTTTGACCAGTCAGAGAAGTAAGTTTGATTGATAAGCACTTTACACCACTTTCAAAGATATTTCTACATTAGTTTTTATTAAATTCTGTGATTATTAGTTCGTGCATTAATAGCACCCTCTTACTTACTAATAAATAAATAACCCATAATAACGCTTAAAATAATCTTCAAAATGGACTAGTTTTTGCCAATAAATAATAAGTAAAATAAGCTGTAAAACAAATAAATCAATTAATTACTAAAATATTACTTATTAAATTAAAAATAAAACGAAAAAATCTTTAAAAAATGATATAATAAATATATTGTTTGTCACTTTTAAATTAATTTTTTTGCTCTCCCTGTGTATTATCCAACAAGTTGATTTAGACATATCGAATGTATCAGTTTGCATTAACTTATAACCCAAATTTCAAGATTTGAAATGTTCAAATCAAGATTTTACTAACGCTTATTCAAGATCATGTATTAGATTCAAGAACATGTATTTGAATTGAAAATCATCAAATTTACACAAGCTTTATTTTTTATCTCAAAAACTATTAAAGATAGGTATAGGTTAGTATATCAGAAAAATTATCCGATATCAAAGTGGTTTTCAAATATGTAATAATATACCGGGTATTCCATTTAAAATAAGAAAACACTGTAACGCTGAAATAAATAGACGGATCAGGTGCTTTAATGTAAAAGTACATATTTTCGAAATATGTACTTTTAGATATTAGATTTATATAGATATATTTTTTATTGGTTGGTAATTTTGTTTTACTAGCTAAAAGCCACCGACAATCTAGTTTCCGTTAGGATACTACACAATGGTATTTTATAAAAAAAATACTTTTTCACTTCTTAGATTTCTCTCAGTGGCTAAATAACCATGCTTTTTTAAGAATTCTCAAGACATCTACTTAATGGAAAAACTAACCTAACCTTTATCTAACAAGTGAAGCATAAAATACATTAGAAAAGATTTAAGAAGGGCTTTATATCATCACTTATACGTTCAAGTTTAATTAAAATCGAATTCTACCTTAAATGTTTTTCTTTTACCAGACCGTTCAGCGACCAAGCGGAAGTAAGGGAGAAGAATCCGGAAGACGAGGTGAACGATTACCTGATGAAAGCCATCGATGCCCGAAGCATTGACAGGTTAAGGACGGAGCACTGCAGGACGTTGCTGCTTACTTTCAGAGATCCCATCAAAGAAAATAAGGTAAATACTCTACAGGGTAACCCGGGCTACGGAAAAAGATCCATATCAGATTTTCTTTTGAAATTTTCACTCTTATCTTTTTCATAATATGGGGGCAATGGAATACTAAAATATAATCGTAAATTCAATAATCAATCAAATATATTTTTACTTTAAATTTGTAATTTTTTTTTATTAAAACGCTGGTCATTAATTGCTGAAATCTAATTCATTAAGTCATTAACTCACCGGATTTGTCTTCCGGAAGATTTCCATTCTAAGAGTATCATATAATATCATAATCTATACCGATTAAATTTAAAGATATGAATAGATTTATATATAATTTTCTACACATTTAAAGATTTTAAAAAATTGTAAAATCGTAAATAAAAAAAAAGTAATTATTTTATGATAGTGCTTCCGTCAAACATATAATCATACTAAAATAGGGTAAATATCTTGATATACATATATACGAGTTAAAATTAAATTTGTATTTTATATCATAATTCGACAGTTTTTATCCATCTTAACGTTGCCGCGTTCAGCGTTCTGTACCTTCCATATCAAAAATCCAGATTTAGAGCAATTTTTTTGAAAATATATTTTATAATTTTCTTTCTTTTCTTTTAATTAATTTCTTTCACTTTTTTTACTAGTAAGTATTTATCAGGAATAGTGATATACTTGTTTGGAACAAAAAATGAATATTACCAAATTTGAATTACCCTGTATATATAAAAATATATTTAAAAGGTGGACAACCACTTTTCGCACATTTTATCAAATCAGTCAAGTAAAAATTTCAAAGGGAAAAGTTGATACAGTGCTTTGAAGCAGGAGATACAACTTTAAATCTTGTATTTGCTGTCTGGTAATACACATTTATTAGTTTTATAGTTTTTCATACGAAGTTTGTAGGGAATATTGCTTCTCACAATTACATAAATCATAATTTGAATATTACACAGAAATTTATATTATTTAGGTTACTAATTAATACATTTTGTTTGGTGAAATGAAGCCTTTCCAAGCTTTCATCAGGCCCAAAACCAAGTTTTGATATTTTACAAGCAAACAAATTTAATTAAGTTTTCGGTTATAGGTATTTTAAGCTTACTGAACTGAACGTAAGAATTATTGTATAGATAAAACACATTCTTAATTTATAAAATCAATTAAGGCAAATTCAATTCAAATACTTAAATTATATTTATTCGACTAAACTCCTTTTTAGGTTTAAAAATTTTACAAGGTTAGAAGAAATTAGAAAGTAGCAATTTTTATTAAAAAGGAACTTCTAAAAATAAAAACGTTTTTTATTAATTCTTATTTATTTATGATAATATGCTAACATATCCACTCAATACAGGACACTGATATAATTTTTTGTTTCAGTATGTGTTAGAACGAGATAGAATGCTCACTCTATACTTCATTTGTTCAACATTCTGTTTTGCTGCTATAATTTTAGTACAAATAGCGATTTTTAAAAGGTAAGTAAACAATCAGTTTAGGAAAATATTTTGAATAAACTAAATATAGTATTTCTGATTAACTAACTTTAATTTGTTTTTTACACAATCTTCGAAATAAATAAATCAACTTGGCTTGGAAATGTATTTAATAATTTTACTTATCAAATAACAGCGATCTTCGTACAACTAATACCGTTTTTTCGGTCATATAATACCAAACGTTCGAAAAAAAATTGCGTCAAAGAACCTGGGGAATGACAATCGATGATAATTTTGACGAGGTCAAGCCCTAGACACCATTTACTTGGCCCGTACCTTCCTTTACTTTTTAATAGCGCTTACTTCCAGTTGGCTTCCTTATGAAGGATGTAATTTATTTTTATATTAAGTAAAAATTATTTTTAAACAGTGTAGTTTAAAATTCCAGAAAAAATTATTTTTTGGAAAAAGATTTTTGTTTGTAGTCCAAGAAAATAGGTCTTCAATACGAAGTTTTGGTATAAACTTGAATTTTTGATATAAGTGAAAGATCTAAAAACGAATTGTGAAAGATTTTCTTTAAATTCACCCCCGAGAAGGGGTGAAATAAATATTTTTTTTATGAAAATTCATATATTTAAAACTTTATTCAATTTGTTTGGAAAATTATAAATTTCAATTAAGTTTTTTAAATTCACCCCGAGAAGGGGTAAAAAATATATAAAGTGTTTTTTGTCAAATTTCACCACATAGGTATAGACATTTTTTACAATTTTTTTTTAAATTTCGGAGAAACGGTAAGGACTGGAAAAAAGTTCTAATAAAAGTTGTAGAGCATTCAATTTTGCATAAAAATGGTCTATACTTTTTTTGCTCAAATCAAAAGTAACCGAGACAGGGTGGCTAGAAGCTAAGGGACAACTTTTATTGAAACTATTTTTCAAAGTCCTTACCGTTTCTCTGAAATTTGACAAAAAAAACTTATATATTTTTTTACCCCTTCTCGGGGTGAATTTAAAAAAATCTTAATTGAAATTTATAATTTTCCAAACAAATTGAATAAAAATTATAAATATACGAATTTTTTAGCAACTTATATTTTTTTAATATCCACTATCATCCCCTAGCTTCTAGCCATCCTATCTCAGTTAATTTTGATCTGAGCAAGAAAAGTATAGATATCTTATACTATGTAAAATTTGACGCTCCGTAACTTTTATTTGGACTTTTTTTGGAGCGTTTCTCCGAAATTTCTAAAAAATAATTTTATATATTTATTTCACTCCCTCTCTGGGGTGAATTTAAAAAAAATCGTTCATAATTCGTTTTTAGATCTTTCAAAGTAACTTAAATATATTATATATAAAATGATAATATATTTTATATATAAAAAATTTAAGTATTTACCACAACTTCGTATGTAAAGGCCTATTTCCTTGAACTATTGGGAACGTTTTATTCTATACCTATCACGGGTTTTATGTCAAATTTTAGTAAATAGCGTCTAGAGATTAACCTCACCTAAAAATTATCATCGATTTTCATTCCCCACCAGTCTTTAATGCCGTTTTTTTATCATGAGTTAGATAATGTTATATAATATATCTCATTCACAACGGACATAAAATTTTATACTACTACTGATGTCAACAACTTCTTCAACAACTTGAGGTTTATATTTTATACATGTTCCATAAAAAGCAAATTGCCGTTCATTTTATGATCTTTGAAGTATTTATTAATGTCACAGTTTATTGCATTTCAGTTTTATTTTTGAGATTATTAAGTTCGTGTGGTATATGAAAGAACAAAAATTCATGATGGTTCGTAAAATAAATGGAAGATAAAGCCATTTTATGACCAGCTATTTTCCAGTAGAATATTAAATGACTTAAATGTTAAAATTTAAAAAAAAATCAACTTTTACATTACCCATTCCTCGAAACTATTATCTATACAAAACTATTACAATTTTAAAAACAACTTCTCTACTATTATTAAAATTTTTCTTCTAATAATATAATTTTCTTCTAAATAATAATTCACTTCTAATTTCTGCCATGTCGAGCACTGCGGTAGGAATTTTTAAAATCAACTGAAATACACCAAGCCTCGCTGTAACTTATAATTCACCATCGAACATAAATAGTAATGAAGCTGGATCGTATTAATGTCAATGATAAAGTTATTATCGTGTACATACTCACTTTCATGAGAGGGCACTGACATAAGGGCAGCGAAAACGAAGCTTTGCACTCAGATATTATTATTTAGAAATAATTATCTGCCAATATTAAGAAAACTGTGTGAAAAATAGCTGAAGTATTTTTTTTACCTTATACAGGCTTGTTAGACCTATAAAATATTCATTTTGCAATATTGTAACGTATAAAAATATTATATAATATATTTTTTCATTTTTATATTCCCTGATAATTTGGTAACTAACATATTAACAGTCTATAATTAATAGATTGTTTGTATTATTTAATATGTAGATAGCCAGCGTTAGTAAATATTCCTGGCAATAATAAATAAAAAACAAACTTGTAAACATATTTTTAAATAAACAGACGTCCAAAAGAATTTCGATGTAGCTCGCAGTGTCAAAAAGAACATTCTATACCCTTTCAAAAGCATCTGGTCGGAATATATAAAGGCCTTTCTAATACTTTCTATGGAGTAATTGCAAAACTAAGTCTAACTAAAGTTTTTGTGTCATATTTGCCGCCGAATTATATGAATATACTAGAATTCTTTATATTTTTATAAAACTCCATCCTGTTAATAAAATATCTTGTAGGATTACCTAAGGATGAATTAACTTAAAAAGAAACCATCAACAAATTTAAAAAAATAGGCGCTTATCAAGTTATTCCCTTGGACCCTTCAATTACTACTACTGTCATTACTCCCTGACGAGTAATTGATACGCATCAGAATATGGTTACGCAATGCGTTTTCTTTCATGAGCTTTTCTGTGATTCAAAATACACCCATACATGTTCCGCACTCCAGACATTCAAAAATCTCATTACTTTGTTGCCACTATACTTTTTGGTTGGTGTTGAAGCTGAGTTCAGTAATTCTTCTCCATAGCGTTTTATTGTGCGCTGCTTCCTCCCACTGATTCTACATGCATATCCCTTTTAAGTTTTCTTGGAAAATAACCTTGTATCTTTTTTGTTGCCCTCCCGGTTTCCTCTTAACGTCTACAAGCTCACCGTAAAGAAAAGTTTTCGGTAGGCGGTTTTCTTGCATCCTGCATACGTGACCAGCCCATCTTAAACGGGATTTAGTAATCATAACTTCAGCGCTTTCGCAGCTAGCATTTTGAAGGTCCGATACATTTGAGACATGGTGGTACTATTTGATTCTTATCAGTTAGTAAAAATGAATGGTTAAAAATTAATGTTTTTAGCACAACCACCATGGCTGTAGATTGAAAGTTAAAATTCTATTTTGTTTTAACTGAAAATGTTAAAAGTTGACATATGATATGTATATTCAGAATGTCATTTTCTATCAAATAGAATAAAAAAATACTAGAATAAATAATAAGACCCATTGCAAACCTCAAATTAAATATGTATTCTAAATTCCCGAAAGATACACTGGAGACTTTCCTTATAACATTTTCGAAAATATTCGTAAGATGCAGAGCCTACAATATATGGGATTATCTCGACAAGATACGCCTCAAAATTGTCATAACGATCGAAACACGCGACAACACCGTGCCAACGGCTCATCTTACACAAAACGTTTCCATCTCCACGCTTCGAAAAAGGAATTTATTCAAATGTATATCTAGCGTTCCGAAGACTCTTGTAAAAGTGAGGACTTTTAGCGAATCGTTCAAGCGAAAAGGACTTTCGGAAACATTTTAGTTGTAGAAAGCCGGGATCGAGCGGATTGAAATGGGTCGGTGTCCGTAAATTCTCAGCGATAAGACTTGCGTTAATAAGTTATAATCCGATACGGTATACTCAGTAAATTTGAAAATATTTCAAAGAAATATCAAGAAAACTTTTCAAAATATTTTTACCAAACTTTTAGTTTATATTATTGGCATGGCAAAGGACATTTTCTTATACATTTGACATGAATATCTAGTTAAAAAAATATCCCCCTTTAGAACTTCATCTGTCATATTAAGAAAATGAAAGTAAATAAAGCGTTTCGTGTTTGTTCAAAATACTAAAAATTTCAATTATTGCGTGTATATATTTTTTAAATTTATATTTTTTTAATTGCAAAGTAATATATTACAGTTAATGGAATATATTACATATACATAAAATAGGTATGACAATTACAAGCTTGTTTTCTAACATTTTTTAAATAAAACGAATTACAAAATTTCAATATATGTATTAAAATAGAAAATGGATAAACGGTTATTTACATTGCAATAAAACTGCCACTTTTAGTTTTGCAATCCAAACGCAATGTCTCTTCTTCACTAATAAAAATATCCGACAACATTAAAATCACTAAAACTTCCGCGGCTGACAACGAAAACTGAAAAATATAACAGCACTTTTTTTTTAAACCTGCATATCAAAATTACAACATGAAAAACCAACAATATGAAACAAAAATTTGCTACATCGTCAACATTTACAGCCCGTTACGATTTAGAACGTTTTTTGTATATACCTTTCTTCGGCTCATTTTTGATAGAATTATAAACTCTAGTTAGGATTAGACCTTTAGAGGTGGCCATCGGCCTGTTTCACAGCGACCTTTTCAGATCTACTATGGTTTTCTTCTGATTCTTAGGATACCATTCTCCAGTCCTATCCTTTTCCAAAAGTCTAGCAACTTACTGAACCCTCCAGTACTTTTGTATATTAAAATTATGCATTATATCAAAAATTGTATTAATTTTTTTCCTTTAAACTAAAATGCATGTTGTAAATTATCCGAAAGTATAAAATTTTAGACTATTTGCTAAACTTACTAGACAAGAATTTAGAAGTTCGACGTGTATAAATGTGTATTTTATAAGATACAAAGGTTCATTGAAAATTAATATAATACATAATATCATAATAAAATAAGGTATGAGACACAGTTTCTTATAAAATACATAGTGAAACTGAAAATGATAATTAAACATTCATGGTTAGCAAATAATTAGCTTCAATCAACCTGAAAATGTATAACAATCAATAAAATCATAAATAGCTGTTATTTTTTACTTATAAGTGTGGATATTACCATCCTTTCTAAATGGCGTTCCTACTAAACAAAAAGTATACTTGAGAGAACAATGTTACGAATAGATAAAATAAATAATTAAGTAAACATTGTTTAGTATATTTAATCACCAAAACGGTTCTTATTAAAATAAAATATTACTGAAATAGATACATATAGTGGTTTTAGAATCAATAATTGTTATATTTAAGTTGTTATAAGTTCTTATAAGCTGGTATAAGTAACATATATTTATTTTACAGCAACGAGACAGCTTTATTATGCTCAGTACCTGTAGTATTATTCCTCATAATGCTTCCAGTCATTGTTTACTTGGATACTGTCAACACAAGGGTGAGATTTTGAATTATAATACTTTAATATTATAGTAATAATTATGACAATTAGTAATACTTGTCTATTTTCAGTTGATGTAGTTTTCTTAATACGAACTTTTAATAAATAAACGATTATTTACTATTACACTAATCGTTTTTTATTAAGATAGGTTATTGATTATTATTATTTTGATTTTTAAATTACATATGAAAATAATTAAATAATTAATAACTATTTATTAGCATTTCCAGAAGAAAATGTTTACCATATCGAGGCTCATCCACAAGAACCGCAACATAGCACAGATATTTTGTTTTTTGATGTCCATATGCATTTATACTCTGGTGATGTTACAATCGGTAAGTAGTCAGTTCATATATTTTTAGCTACGTATTTTTGAATCAAAATAAGTTAATTGCACATAATTTGCCTTTATACAAAAGTGCTTTGTTGAAGGCTAATTAATTTAAACAATTAAATCTATGAACCTTATTGTCAAATATAATTTGTGATACTAACATAAAATTCCATATTATTGCCAGTTAGATTTTTAAAGCATAATAGTTTTAATGCGCCTCCATAGCTTGATGTGACGAAAAACATTTTTTTTGGAAATCAGCTTCGGAAAAATAATTTTTTCTCTCAATAAGTATGCGCGTTGGGTTTTTTAAAAAAGACAAAAAATAAAGTTATTACTAGAAGGACCGTTTTACCAAAAAAAATCGGTTGTCTGTTGACTTGGGAAATATTTATACTAAACTTTATGTAGGGGTGGGGGTAGTTTTCACCCTCTCCGTACCTTTTCTTGATTTTTGTGAAAGTCAAATGTTAAAGCACTCAGCAAAACATAGACACCCAAAATTTCAGTCAAATCGGAATAACGGTTCTTAAAATGTGTATTTTTTAAAGTTTGATGCCCTCTAACGGACAAACGAAGCACTTTTGTATAGAGGAAAATTGTGCCCAAGAAACTTATTTTGATTCCAAAAATACATAATAGTTCTATGTCCACGGAAAATTGGAACACCCTGTATAGATAATAATGATGAATTCAGTCGATACATTCTAATTTTGAAACTACATTATCATTATTGAATGTTACAGAATATTCAGATTGGAAGAAAAGAAAAGTAAAGGTTTTAAAGTGTTCGGTATGAGCTTTTAGTAAAATTAGATAAAAGAACAAAGAAAATAGTGGGAGTTAAGACAAGCGTACTGAATTAAGTTCACCACTTTAGTTTAGATGGAAGTGAAATTCGGAACGAAAGTATGAGAAAGATGTATAAAATTAAATTTTTAATTTATGTAACGTATTTTTGTAACGTTTTATACTAGGGACTTAAAAATGTATAAATTATATTCTCACATAAAATAGGTATAATTTAATTAAATAATTTACTTATGTAAAACTTTTTAACCTTTACTCTTCATATCCACAGCAAGTTATCCATTCAACAATGTGTAGCAAATTTTGAATTACGTGTTACATTAATAAAGGTTTAATTTGATAAAATCAATCAGTGATTTTAATTGAAATAGTTTTGAGCTTTAAAATTAATCTAATTACGGATTGTTAATACCAGTCAGATATTAACAAATTATAACAAATATTCATTTCAGCTACAATAATTTTATTGATAATTGTTATTAAGAAGTTTATAGTAGATTTAAATACATGTTTATAGGCTTCGTGCATTCTCCGCCGGTGTTGCCACCGCCCGAGAATATCGTAAATAACGAACACATACTAATACATGGGTTTAAATGGCGAGTAAACGAAAAAAAAAGTATATCGGGTGTTGCATCGTCGAGCGGGACATAGGAAATCCCATGTAAATTTTAATGGGGTCAATTATTGACTTCCCTAATTATTTTAGAGAATAATTCTATTTAAGTTTATTGAAGAGCACTAAAACCCACATTCAAAAGAATAACTATAGATATTTTTGATTAGCCCGTTTACGAGTTACCGCCGATTTCTTTTTAAATATTTCTCCTTTCTTATGGCCCTGTATTTACTTATGAGCACCAGTCAAGGTAAAAGATAACTGTCAAATGAAGTTGTCATTTCAGAAATTTATCTATTTAGTGCTTTATCATGTGCTTTATTATTATTATTAAAAACTCATACCTACATCGAAAATATTAGCCATGAATTACACTACCGAAGAAAAAGTATTGATCATTAAATGGTATTATCAAGAAAATAGTTATCAAAAGGTGTCGGACATGTTTGCTGCTCTGTATCCGAATAGACCGATACCTGGAAAATCTACAATGGCAAGGAATATCCAGAGATTTGAGATCAAAGGTACCCTAATAAATAACTGCAGATGTGAACAAAGAGAAGATGCAAGAAATGATACCGACTTGGAAGTTGTATTGTGCGTGGAAGAGAACGATGGAAAGATCAGCACAAGGAAACTTGAGGATGAAATAGGAATAGATCACACTACAGCGTTTCGAATTTTGAAACGATATAAATACTATTCATTCAAATATGAAAAGCACCAAGAGCTACGAGATGGGGACGAAATACAGCGGCAGGCGTTTTGTTTTGATATGATGGAAAGAGCAAACATGGATAGGGAATTTTTAAAAAACATATGTTTCACTGACGAATGCACTTTTACCTTAAATAATGAACCCAATGTTCAAAATTATCGATATTGGAACAAAGAAAACCAACACAGGTTTGTCGAAACAAGGACGCAATATCCACAGAAAGTAAATGTTTGGGCAGGGATATTCGGACACAATATTATCGGGCCATTATTCCTTACGCGAAATTTAAATGCAGAATATTATTTGGAACTACTCGAAAATCATATATTTTACCTGCTTTACATGATGCCGCTAGGGAAAATCAGGAAGTTTGGTACCAAATGGATGGCTGCCCGGCACATAGTACCCTGGCTGTTCAAAAAAGTATACCATTAATATTGCAAATTATATTTCATTCTCTCATAGTAGGTATATGTCTATTTAATTTTTTAATTATGCCACGAGCATTTTGTTTACTCATTTATTTCGTCGAACTGCTTGAATCCGTTTTTTGCTATTGACTATTGATCAAATCGGTGTAAGAAATTATGAAATATAAAATGTTGTTTCGGGAGGGTTGAATATCCGGGAAAGTTGAGTTATTGAATGTTATTGCACCTAACAACGCCTTAATTACGCTTTCCTTTACGCGTTAACATATTTTTGGTCAATTTTATTAACATTTGAAATTGTCACAACACAATAAGACGTCTAGTTCGAATTCTTTTTCACTCATATTTTACTACCCGAAACAGCGTTACATCACACAAACCACATACCTGAGTGTTTTATAGTCTCAATAACTGTACTAGCAAAAAACTAAAATACTTAAATATTACCACAAAACTTCGATTTCAATATTATTTTAATGCGATCGACATGACGGCGGCAGTGGCGTGAACTATTAATTGATAATTTCTGATTTCTGCAGTGGAGTGCGCTGCGACTGCTAAAAAATTATCTAAAAATTGACAAAATAATATATATACAGTATAGTTTTTTTAATACATACTAACTTTAATATGCTCTGTTCAGTCTAATATAATTAAGCTATTCTGGAAACCATAATCCAGCATACGGTATACTAAAGTCAGAAGCTTTTAGCAAGTCCCGATGATGTTCCGCAAAGCCTTCGCCACCACCACACAGCTTTAGCCCACGTATCGTCATAGCTCTTAGTAGCGGTTAGGCAACAGTTCATTCTGTCTGTGTGTATGAACATGCACCGGTGTAAATCTTGTTATTGCTGCGTCGATTTTCGGTAGACCATGTAAAGCTTACGGCCGCGATAAGCATTTGAGCATAACGATGCTCCGGAGAGAGATATTAAACGAGAAAACGTTGTACGTAGTTAACAAAATACAAATCTATATACTTGTTGAAACTGGTTAAATTGGGTTATTAAATGCCAGAGTATGTGTTAGTTTAATTTTGGTTGGGCAATATTTACGTTAAAAAATGTCTAAAGTTCAATATCTTGTTCAAACTCTTTTTACTATACATAACTATAGTTCATACCAAATACACTTTTAGTCGCGTGATTAAGCTTGAACGGCACAGCGTTGCTCACTTTTACAATCAAAATATTTTAGGAAACGAAAATAAATTAATTATAAATATATAAACAGTTATTATTTACATCAACAAAACTCACTTTAAGCACTTAAGGAACATAAAGGGCAATTACTACCGCTTTCCCGTTCAAAATATTCTAATAAAGTTGCGATGAGTTTTTTACGGCTATTAAGCTATCTTGTACACTTTGCACTAAAAGAGGTTCTTTAAAAAAACAATGTTCGACTGCTAGTAAACATTTTTATGCTTAAGCTATCACCACGCTATTTCTTTAAACCAAAAACTCGTAATATAAAACTAATGTGTCAAAACGAATGGCAATGTCGAAAGGAAAGGAAGGAAAAAGGAAATAAATAAATAAATGTAGCAACTTGACGTTTGCTATTTTTACAGCAAAGCTACCACCTGAATTCCCAGCGGGAAATATAATCCAGTTAATTCCAGTTAGTCAGCCCGGCGTCGAATATATCCATAGTTGGTAACAATAAATTTAAAAATCGCGCCCTGGATTACGTAACTGAAAGTTTAATTTGTGTGTCAAATATAGATAAAACCAACTATTTTTATTCCTATATATATTCTTCCAATAAAAAAAAACAATTAAGGTTTCAAGATTCTGTTTCTGTCGCCGTTGTCTGAAACAGAAAACAAAAAATAAATGTTTCTATTTCTGACTGGCAAAGCTAGGTGAAGCTGAGTTAAACATAAAATTCTTCGAAAAATCCACTACAGATATGGCAATTATTCATTCATTGATTTATTTCTTGCTAAAATACAATATTAGGGAAACCAGTTATTTTTTTCTAAATTTGGATATGTAAATAGTTCTTCCTTCCTTGTTTCCTAGAATGGGGCGAGATATATCCTTTCAAAGGTCAAATGTATTTTGTTTGACAAATTTTCTCGCATCAATTTTTCGCTATGTAAAATATCGAAACGATAACTATTTATGTCTTTGTTATGATTTATTATATACATTTTTAGTGAACTGATTTATTTAAAATAATAATAAAAAGATGGAACTGGTATATATCAAAAAGGTGACGTACGTTTTATTTTAAACTGAACCTCTCTTGAAATATTCATATTGTAAATGAATTTGACACTTACGCATAATTTATGAGATTATGATAGCTTTTATTCAAAGTAAAAAATTATAATCTTAAAAAATCTATATTTTTACGTAAATTGAAAATATAACAATAATTGGATGTATCTATTTAAAGCTTAAAACAAAACGATGAGAGATCGGAAAAGTATGTAATAAATAACTATGAATATAATAAAGATTGTTTGGCAGTCTAAGACGCTCTTAGGATTGGATTCCTTAAGCTTAATATGTAGCAGATATCAAATAAAAACTTTTATCACAGTACCTCATAGAAAAAAAAACAAGTGCAAATAGACAACGTACCTACAACCATTATTTACTATAGCATTTTATATAAAATAATAATAAATAAGTATGTTTTATTTCCCTTACAGCTGTCTTTACCAGAAGAAATCCAATGTTTGAATATCACTTCCATCGAGACCAATTGTACAAGTTTATACACTCCAGCGATTATTGACAATGAAATTAAAGACTGCAAACCTTACTACTTAGTTGACGTAAGTAAAATTGTTTTTTTTATAATATCATGTTGTTCTTCATGCTACTCAATAGGTCCCTACCAACTATACGTTATTTATAGCTTTAGAAATATGTATTTAACTTTCAATACACATTAAAATGCAAAATATTTTCTAAAAATAATATCTAGATCGATAATATGTATAGTAAGTATGAAATTTGATTTTATCAAAATAAAACATACAATAAAACAATTCTTGTATTGAGAAATGGTAAAATACATTGAAATATCAGTTTTATTTTGTAAATTAATATTAGTACCGTACCGTACTAGTATTTCACCCGAAATAGTATACAAGGTGAGCCTTAAATAAGTGCAAATATTTTCAGGGCTGGTAGATCTCGATAGAAAAAATATATTTTCTCTTTACCGTTTTTCAAATAAATCCAAAATAATGAAGTTATTTTACTTCGAATATTTCCAAATAAAAACATTTTTTGTTTAAATTTTGATAACCACTGGATCTTTTCTGGGGTTTCTTTCTTTTAAATTTAATCTACTACCTATATTGTCATATTATCATGAAATTATGTTTTTAACTAAAAAATAAAAAAATCCAAATTTTTGAAAATTTGGATTTTTTATTCGCGAAAAATCTCATAATCGTGTTTTCTGGGGTGGAAATATACTATCCCTAAAAACATTTGCACTTATTTAAGACTCGCCCTGTATAGATTAGATATAGAAATATAGTAAATGAAATTTTATTTATTTAAAAACGTATAATAAAATAATTAATTATTCTATGAATAAATTGAATTAATATATTATACGTTTCTTTTGTAGATTAATATTTGTACCTATAACTTCAAAAGATGGTATTATCACAAAGTTAAAGTATGAATTAAACTCGCTATTACTAAGACCCGAGTGTCCATTTTGGTCATTTGTAAAGTTTGTTTTAATCAGAGTTTGACATTAAACTGTAGTTAAAATTGGAAATCCGCTTAAACCACTTTTTAGTCTGCTGCTCTTCGTAACTAATTAATCGCCTAGATCGGAGGATTTAAGTCTAGTTTACAATTGTATAATCTAATCTCTTTAGAGCTACGTTACGTTAAAATCTAATAACAGAATTTTTTTAAAGTTGATTTATCATCAGTGAAATAGATATACTTATTCAAGATTCCATCAAACTCTATTTTTAATTAATATTGTTTTATATCAAAACATACAGGGTGTCATTGAAATGGTGTAAAAATCGGGGGGTGATAGTACTCCTAAAAATAGTAAAAAAAAAAGTTCCTATAAGTATAGGGCGGAAAATGCATATTAAGGGAGTTAAGGGCACTGAAAGGGTGAATTTAAAAAACGGTTGTTTTGAAATTGTAGGCTTAAAAAACGAGATAAAATTTCGAAAAAAAATTCTCTGTCATAAATTTTGACCCTAAATCAAATGGTGACCCTAAATCAAACCAAACTGAAAAATTATTTGATTTAGGGTCAAAATTTATGGCAGAGGATTTTTTTTCGAAATTTTATCTCGTTTTTTAAGCCTACAATTTCAAAACAACCGTTTTTTGAATTCACCCTTTCAGTGCCCCTAACTCCCTTAATATACATTTTCCGCCCTATACTTATAGGAACTTTTTTATTATTTTTAGGAGTACTATCACACCCTCATTTTTTTACACCATTTCAATAACACCCTGTATATTCTAATTCTGGATATTTATACAGAAGACTTATTTAATTTATTTACAAATACGGACCTCTATACAGGGTGCTACAAATTCGGGGAACGAGCTTGGTATCTTGGAAACCATAATAGATACGAACATGTTTAAATTGGTGCAAATTTGCGTCTTGGTATGCTCACCAAAATGCCATAAAAAAGTTTCAAAAATTTCAAAGATTGCTTATCTTTCTGTCGTACAACCAAACCAAGACTACCTGCTAGTATTTTTAGTTGGTAGTAGCTGATAATTTGGGTGATAATTAAGCCAACTTATTTTTTTTAAGTACGAACCTGCATTTTTTATTATAGGTTTTGAAAGAATTCGTTCTCCTGAGTACAAAGATATGACACACTTATTTTTTTTTTGTTTCGGGCACATAAACACAATTTATTTAAACAAACAAATATTTAATCTTTTCATCGTAAATAATAATATTGATGAGCTCTAAAATTTAACAATAACGTATGGAAAAATATTGAAAACGAAAAATCAAATACAGTAAAATAATATAAAAAACACAAAATTTAAGTGAGGATGCAGTCAATAATCTCCACGTAGGCAAATAAAACTACTTTTTCAAATTGTCAAGCTTTCGAGAATTTTAATCTCATCAGGACTGTTTGATTGAGTCAATTAACAAAAGCTTGAAACAACAATGTAGCAATTTATTTTTGAGTATTTTTTTAAAGAAGAACGTCGTGAGATGTATATGTATTTTAATATTTTATAAAAGAAATTTCCTTGTGAGTCCAATGTCCTATGATGTTAGTATTTAAGGCCTTATTGTGCAGAGGATGTTGTGTTGTTAATTGACTAACTAAAACTGTACTGATGATGGGAATAAAATTCTCGTAAGCTTGACAAATTCAAAAAGCAGTTTTATTAGCCTACGTAAAGATGGATTGGAAATGGTGGAGCAGTATAAAGAACAGCGAGATACCTGGACCGGTCTCCTAGGGATATTTTCCTTTAGGGGGCAATATCTGACGTCATTTGTAAAAGTGAAATCAATACACCTTAACATTTACAACAAAGAGTACACAATGTATCCGGAATTATAAGGTCTGTTAAAAGGGATATACATAAAATTGAATGAAAAATAAATGTGTGCATTAGGGAGGGCGGTAATCCTTTCCCGCATGTAGAACATTAGAAACTAGTTTGTAAATGTTGATTTATTTATAATAATTACGATTAATAGTATGCATATTATTAGAGTATGCGTAAATTATTAATAGTATGCGTATATTGAGGTTTCAAATTCATAATAGAAAAAAATTAAAAATAATATCTTTAAAATGCTGGACATTATTTGCATCTTTCAATAGGCTCGATTTTCCTTATTTTATATTGGCTTTTCTGATAACAGGATACAAGAGGAAACAATAAAAATAAATTAAGTGTGCAATTTAACCCCAATTTAACCATGTTCGTATCTGTTACGATTTCCGAGATACCAATGCTCGTACCCCAAATTTGTAGTACCCTGTATAAGCACTGTTGCAGAACCCTTAGTACATCTACAATTTTTTACAAAATTATTTTCTAACTAACATTTTAAAACAATCTTCAAAATATAAAATAATTATTATTTCTAGAGATTAAGTTTATTATTTTTGTATGTCTTGTCTTAAAACATAAACATCAACATCCTTAATTGATGTTTTAACAGCGGTTAAAAACGTTCTCCGTATTTACCAAAACAGAGAACTTTACTCCCTAACAGTCAACGAATTCACGAAAAGTCTTGTCACGTTTTGTAGCCTCATAATCATCAAAACAAAATGTCGACGATGCTTTTTGTTGGGATGAGTAAACGGCTGTCACATTAAGTCTACGACTTAGAAATATAAAAAATACACTTGTGGTTTGCTAAACGAAACAAATTATGATTTAAGTTGACAAACCATTATTTTTTGTTAATTTGTAAAAGAAATGCTTTTATAAAAAGACAGACATTACAAATAATTTGTTAAGTAAATTTATAAACCATAAATTCAAAAAAAATACTTTTTTAAATTAAAATAACATCCGGCGTCTCTAAACCCATTCTTAATGAATTTTGGATTGGTCTATTCTCAACATATATTAGTTACAAAGATATCACTATTATAAAGTACTTATAGTGAAAAAGTTGCAATAATATATTTTAAAATACACTGAGTAATGATAGGTAGAGTATTCTATCCATCACATTAATATAATAATTAAATAACTTTTAAACTTAAAATATACATAAAATGTAAGATAAATATTGAGAGACCATTATTTCTTTTCTTCCTTGTTCTAAATGAAATAGGTTTAACAAACAAGATAAAGAATTAAAACAAGACAAAGAATTAAAATAATTAGTTGATTAAATTTACAAATTTGATGTTTTCAAATTAAAAACAAAAATGTTATTGCCAAACTGGGACCGAACTTTTTTCGGTTCAAACAAATTTGAAAGCAGTGGAACATCTAAATTTATAATTCCCCAAACGTCTAAGGAAAACAAAAAAGCGCTGTTCTGGGCGTCACAAATTTTCGATTGAAAACTTTCTTGTTGGAAAATTTATTATTTTTAATCTCAAAATGGGAAAAAGCCTGATGTATATAATCTTTAACTTGGCATATAGAAACCATTGATTTTGATGAATCCAACAAACTTTTTATAAATATTAGACAGCACTAAATACCCAGGAGGCGGAAAATTTCACTTGGTAAACTGGTAATCAGGTCAATCATAAATGATAATATTGTTTTATATTGTGATATTTTATAAGTGTGATGTCAAAAATAAAAAAAGTAAAATTAAATTTACATAATTTAAGAATTAATCAACATTTGAAACACGCCTTTATTTAGCATTTGAAATATTATAAATCATTTCTTCTATCGAATTCTATGACATAGGTAGTAACTCTTAACCATAACTAAGTGACTAAAGTCACCGAAGACCATGACATAATTTAATTATTATAAAAAACTAATAATTAAAATTATTATGAATATTCTCCATTGGTATATATTACTGTAAAATATATATAAATTTATATTTACTAACTAAGTCTGATTATTCTAAAATGCTTTAAATAGTTTTACAAAAACTTAACATTAGACTTCCTAGACTAGGATTCTCTAATTTTCCCTTATTTGTAAAATAGACAATATAAGATAAAATAGTATTTATATTTAATAACATATGTTACTTAAGGTGGCTGCAGGATCACGGGACATCGTTACAGCCACCCCAGTACAACAAAGTGTATGTTTGCCTACTTGATTTCTATGCAGATAATATATTCTATAATGTTACGATATTTAAAATTTAATTATTATATTAGATATTTTACATATCTACAAAAGACTAAAAATTATATTTTTTCCAGAACATGCTACTTCTAGTACTGATATCGATGATAGCCTGCGCTGTGTATCAAATCATAATATCTCTTCTGAAGACAATCATTTTACTAGCAGACATGATTGGATTTTTATTCATCTACGTGATTTATTCCAAGGAAGCAGTCCACATTTACAGGACTGCCTGTTCACAGAAATTCAGGTAAAGTATTTTTTGGAATATACCGATCTGGTCATCGAAACTACGTGGTCTAGATTTTAACGTGCAAAACAGTGATGTAGATAGCTTAAGGGAAAATAAGAGATAAAAGTTAGGTTGATAAATTTCTTCTATCGCTATCAACATTTCAAACCGCACAAGTAGGCGTTTATGAAAAATGTTACTCTAGGGTTGGAACTTTATTTTTCACAATTAGTTACTCGTTTTCCTTCAGCTGTAACAGATCATATTTAGCTTAGATATATTATCTTAATTTCAGTAATATACATGGAAGTTTTTAAAATAATTTTTAAATTTTTCCTTTACACATTTTCTTATACGCGTAAAAACCGGCAACACTGTATGCCGCTTTTTATTTTGTTTCTCTGTCGGTCAACCGGGTATTTTATCTCTGTCGTTTGCACTGAAATACAGACCACGGAAATAAAGTGACCGGGGCTAGTATATTACTATATTTCTTTTTGGATTATACCATTCTTCGAACAATAGATATATATTTTTTGAGAATTGGTTCCTGGGGTTATGGTCCGCAATAAAAATTTGTTATTTTTTTTTCTTTCAAGGGAAACACATTATCAAAGTCAACGTTTCGATCTATATTCAATCTTTATCAAAACTTTTTATTATAACCTTGGACGTCACAAAAACAAACTTATAAATTTACATTTTACGACAGTATCACTGTGTTAAAAACACAAGTCGAGCAACCAAAGAAATATATTAGTAAGTCAGTCTATATGTTTGTTTGCTATTAAATAGATGTAGTAATACTGTGTTAAAATGTAAATTTATAACTTTGCTTTTGTGACGTCCAAGGTTATAATAAAAAGTTTTGATAAAGATCGAATATAGATCGAAATGTTGACTTTGATAATGTGTTTCAATTTTCAGAAAACATACTACAATATATACATATTGTTTAGAAAATCATACCCCCCATTCAAATGTTTTAGTATGCACTCGAATGCACAAAACTCACTTTTTATTTTTTATTTCTATGAAGGTTTGTGATAGAAATGATGCGCTTTAGGGTGAGCCAAAAAAACTAACCTATGGAATTTATGGGTTAAAATGAACCTTATAACCGAGAAAAAAATATCCTGAAAGGCAGGATTCTTAGCTCAATTTTAAAAGGTGTCGGTGAACATTCAAAATTTTCCATTTGAAAACACGTAAAAAAATCTTTTTCCATTAAAAGTACCATAATTTGGAAACGGTTTACGATAAAAAAATTTCCATCGCGGATTCTTGTAGAGCATAATTTTTTTAAAAAATCTATCTGAGAGTAATTTTTTTCATTTCAATAATTCGTATATTTGAAAAATTTGAAAAGTGAAAAAAAAATTAAAATATGCAGTTTTAGTGTTCATTGATTAAAAATTTTCTTATTTAGCAAAAAACTGAATTTAAATTAAATAGAATAATTTTGTTAAAACATATTGTTTATAATGTAGATTTGTCATAAAATAGTTCTTATATTCAATAATTAATTCTTTATTGCATTTGAAATAATTTATACACTCTTATTAATTATTCTGCATAATAGCGTCAATTGCAACCGAATATATTTTTTTTCACCAGTTTAAATTCTGAGAGAAAACATATAAACTAAATTAACTAGCCTTGTCTTCTAATACACCTAGAGAAAATAATTAACAAAATTGAAATTATTTTGAAAAATATTTAAGAGACTACAGCGCCAGCGGGTCAAACTTTAATGTGGCGTTAATTGGGTCACTGACCTTAATTACTATAATTACTATTTCGAAAATTAGCGAGCAGTGCACAATAATATATCCTAATACAATTAAATATCAGCATAATATAATGCGTTATGATTTACCGATCTTCTAACAGACCCACCAACAACTAATTAACAAACCCTAATATCTGTCTCTTTTTATAATAATGTATATTTTATTTATAATGCTTAAAGATCTTTATCGTTTTATTATTTCATTAGAATCTTAATAATTTGAAGATAGATTAAAAATATTTGAAATATTATAATTCTTCATGTATATCGAAATTCTTAATATTTTTAATATCTTTAATATTTTCTATAGAGCGTTTAGCATTTCCAGTCGAAATGGTATTGCGTTATATCTGAAATTTAATCAATAGCGATTCATAAAGGGCTAATCGCCTAACATCCCGGCTAATTACCCAAACCGAATTACCAACACCTCGCAACGAATATTTCGAAGGTATTACGTAACAGTTAGCAGGGGCGGAATGCAATTTCAACTCCACCAAACCAATTAATTCAAAACTAACCGATATCCCGAGGGCGCTCGGCGCGTTCTCCAAAAACTAAATTCGCTACACAAGTTCTCTTATCAATTGGTCATTATCGCTGAGGTTTTCGACTAGAAGCATTAGTAGCAAAATATAATTTAATTAAATTAATTGAACGAACTTTTCTTTCATGTGACTGCATTTTTGACTAGTACATCTAGAAATGGTACACAATTATTAAAACTATTAACTTTCTTTTTTTGTACAGTAATATACAGGATGAGTTTTAAATAAGGGCATATTTTTAGAGGTAGTATATTTCACCCCAGAAACACGATTATGAGATTTTTTTCCGTGAATAATTTTTTTTTTAAATTTTTAATTTTTAGAAAATGTTTTGGAATTTTCTTAGTTTTTAGTTAAAAAACATAATTTCTTGATCTTATGGCAACAATGGTAGTAAATTAATTTTACAAGAAATAAAACCCTAGAAAAGTTCCACTGGTTCACAAATTAAAGGAAAAAAAATATTTTTTAATTTTAAAGTAAAATAACTCGGTTATTTTGGACTTATTTGAAAAACGGTAAAGAGGAAATATGTTTCTTTTATCGAGATCTACCAGCCTTGAAAATATTTGCACTTATTTAAGACTCGCCCTGTGTAATATTTAGTTTTAGTATCTTCCTGAAAACGGAAAGTGATATAATTATCCGAGATCCGATTGAATACGGATACTTCAGGTGCGCTTAAATCTTGACATCTTTGATGATAAATTCTTGTTGGTAAAAAATTATTACTGAGTACGGTTTTTACTTTATTGTAAAATGGTATAACACTTTTAGTGAGCAACGGTTTATTGAAAGAGTTAAAATTAAATCTTGTCATATTTTCAAAAAAACACAATTTTTTCATTAGATGGCGATTTTAGGCATAGGAAAACAACAAATAAAATTTATATACTGGAGTTTATTTATTTTAATAATTATCAACTTATTTTGCAGCGATGGAGATACATTAACTCAACATTACATGAACGTCGTGATACTGGCTGGATTTGTCATAGCCCTAATTTTGCACGGACAACAAACAGAAGCGACGTACAGGCTGGATTTCGTGTGGAAACTGCAGGCCACAGGTAACAAGAAATTTAAGTTAAATCAGAATTCACACACAAAACCATAAATTCTGTCAAAAGTTAGTTCATAGCTGATTATTGTTACTGACTACTGGAAAATTTATCCATATTAAACTTCTAGTTATTTAACAGTTTGAAATGAAAGTTCTAAACTAAGTTGTCCATAACTGAAATGTTGAATTTAAAAATTAGAGTAATTAGAAATGACTAACAGATACTGACTAAGTTATGATCAATTGAAAATAAACTTCTTACAAAAAATAAATTCCTCATTTCTAAAAGCCTATGCATGTGCTAATTAAATTGAACTAAGAAAACAACTAAGCAAGGAACCAAATATTATTTTTATATTCATACATTTAATATGAAAAGGACGACTCCTTTCAAAAAAATCGTAAAATTTGTTTTATTAACTCTATATACCTACTGATATATTCTTAAATAAATTTCCATTATTCCGTATTAACACTTACAGTTATAGTATTTGCAAAATTAACATCTTCTATAAGAAAAACGAATTATTTCATTTAATTTCGCCACAAATAGTGCACTTTTACTTAATCAAAATTTAGGTAATTTCTTAATCACTCTGTAGAAAAATCTATTTAAGATTATTTAATATATCCATCAGGTGCATTAGGAAGGCTCTGAAATGTCTTGTTAGGCGCTGTAAGTCGTTTCAAAAAATAAGTTTTTTTTGATACGACTGAAAAGAACGAAATTAATTTTTATTTCCATATTTTACAGCACATTTTAATCATTTTATCATTAATCGTTCTTTTTTTCAACACCGTGAGATGAAAATTTTCAATATAAAAATTTATCAACTATTAAATAATTTTTGATCTTCTAATAATTAAATCATTAGCAAACGTATAAAAAGTTAACATTTTATTAATTCAAAATCATTTTCTACAACTTTTAAGCTAAAATAATTAATGTCAGTATCAAATTGCCTTCTGTTTTCCTAAAATTAACACTTACAGTTAATTTCCAACTAATGAATTGCTTAAGTAATTGCAGTTACGAGAGTTTGAAATATTCTATTATTTCGTTTCCAAAGATTTATTACAATTTCAGCAGCTACCAGAACTTTGAATATTAAAACGTTACCTCTACATATCGTTCATATAAAGTTTAGTATGTTAGAATAATAATAAGTTTAATAGCAAAGAAACATTAATATGAGAATTGAGAATTATTAACATTTCTGGTTTTAAATATCAAAGGTTGATCAAAATTTGTTAAATTTAAATATTTCTTTAGTTTATGCTTTAAGAACTTTAGCTAATAACTTAATGTATGATGATTGAATGTTGAATCATGAATTTCTTTATTTCTTTTCGGCAATAAAATAAGTTTAGCTTTCTTCCAAAGAATAGGAAACTTTAATTCATAAGCCATTTGGTTGTATACGGAGAGTATATACTTAGGGTTTAATTTTGTTATAATTATTAATACTTCAGCGGGCACTCTTCCAGGTCCAGGGAATTTGTTATTTTTAATCTTACCACATGCTTCTTTTAGTTCTTCTTGACTAAAACTAATAATCTTATTACTAATATCACAGCTAAATATCACACTATCGTGTTTTGGAAATAAATTACTGACTACCTTCTCCGTAAAACTCATAGTGAGTTTCGGATTTGTTTTGAATCCATGTAATTTCTTCATTACAATTTTGTATCCATTTCCAAATACATCACAGTCAAGGGTATCACAAATTGTTTACCAATAATCTTTTTTAGTTTTTTTAATGGAATCTCTAAGTTTTTTCTTTTGAACTTTATATTCGTCCGGGTAGTTGGGTAGAAATGTGCAAACTTCGGTGAGAGTGTCTCGTGAAGTTTCTTCTCATTTTGATGAGAAACGAGAATCTCATGAGAAAATTTCATCTATTTCCAGCTTTATGTTTCTGCCTAGGTTTAAAAGCTCACGCTCCAATAATTATGTAAATCGAAATTAGAATTTCGGATGTACATATTTGCTCAATAAACTGTGTTTAATAAAAGTCAACTCACGATGAAGTTAATATTACGTAACATCAATATGACACGATACATTATTAACTATATTCGCCAAGAACAAACAGTAAGCCTGTTATTCAGTCCCGTTACCGTAGAACAGAGTATTAAATAGTTTATATTCCACCATGGCTATATTTATACATCGCTGCGCTGTGCTATACCTTTGAATTAGGCAATACATGTTTCATAATAATATAATGGACTTTACATCACTGTGAAGAATGAAATAATCTGAAGAGATTATTGCCTCTTCAGATCACTTCATTTTAGATATTGTAATTTAAAATTATTTAGGAACATCGTCTTCATTTACTGTTACCATATAACGAAGACTTAACATAATCTAATTTATTTCGTAACACTTATTCTAAAAGCCAAAGGTAACTCTTTAAATGGTTCTTATGTTTTTCTTTTTGGCCACTCCTCATTCCAACTTTGGACATAGACCTCTCCTTGTTTACTACATTTTAATAATTGTTTAATATCTCGGCTAAAATTTAATATTTCTTGATGATACAAAGCTCATTTAAACGGTAGAATCAACAGATATCACATATTGGAACTTGATTTTTCATATTTTATGATAATAAAAAAAACCGGGCAAACATTCCTAGACCCAAAAATTTTCAGATTTTTACAAACTTATTCATATTTTCACTAATAATAACTTATTTTTAATTGTTTTATCATATGTTTTATACTTTATTTTTGAATTGATATATTTTAAAATTTGTTAAATGGTGCAGACTTAACTAATTATTTACATTGTACGTTTTGATTATCTTATACATATAGTCAATTTATGTCTCAGTTCTCAATATTTCATATACTAAAATTTGGAGCTGAAATCCAATAAATATATTTATCAATATTAAGTTTTCGCTAAATATTCATATAAGCTGGATAAATTATGCTTAATAAAAATCTACCAGCGATGCAGTTTATCAGTACATAATACAAACAACCATTAACATATTAACCGATCCCATTGGATTACCCGAGAACATCGTGATAAAATAATGTATATTCCTCTATGCTATAATCGCGCTTCATAACATCATAAGACACGAAACACCGCATATTAAACACGAAGTAAATTATAACCAAAGAAAATTTATCAGGCCTCATTTTTTAAATTTATTAACTGCAACAGAAATTTTTAAATATTGTATATACTTTTTTTAGTGCGTTCATTTTTGAAAAAATGATGAGTATTTCTACATAATTATATCCTACACTATATATCATCTCGCTTGAAAATGGTGACTATATTTACAAAGAAGCAAACTCCACTTATCCTTTTTGTCTATTGTTTAGAGTACATGTACCGTATGATCGAAAAAAAGGCGTCCAGTTGGGTTGGAAATGATGATCGTTGACATTTCCCATATAATTTTACATATAAAATTTACAGCGATATTCATCTCATAACTATCGCTGACGCCGTTTTTTCGATCATACGGTATATTCGTCCCCAAGTTTTGTCCGTCAAAAAGTCTGTCATTCGACATTATCCGTCCAAACGTTTATCAGTTAAATTCTGGTAGCTTCATTACTGAATTTTTGGTTTGATACTCATAATGAGTACTTATTAAATAGTCCATAGAAACCATTTAGTTATGCAGTTAATTCATTAATTAAATAACTAAACAACTAAATGCTTTAGACACTACTTTAGAAAGATTTAAATGCGTAGAACTCAGAGTTAAAGCTCTTTTCATATTTAATTTAATTGAAATATATTTAATGTAAGTCTTAATTAATTAATACTGTACGTTTTAACACTAATTTAATTATTATAATATACCATAAAATATAGTTTAGAGATAGTTGAAAATCACAACGATGTTTATCGTCATTATATTTTCGGTAAATGTTCATATGCACTCAATATGTTTTTCCTAGTATAAGTCAGTGGTACACCTATACAAAGACAACGTTAACATTAAACTATTATTCCGCCCCATCAGATTACCCGAGAATATCGTGTTAAACCGTTTATATTCCCCTATGTTATTATGCGTGGTTCATAATATGATAAGATATGATACACCGCATATTAAACATGACACAAATTATTATAGAAAAAATCTATAAAGCTTTTTATAGCATACTTTTTAAATCTACATAATTACAACAGGTTTTTTTTACACTCGAAAATTACATTAAATCTAGTAGGTATATTTGCTGAAGACTCGCCTCTCTAGATTACAAAATTTACGAATTTAATTGAAGCTTACTAATAAATTGTTTTTGTTAGTTAAAATATAAACATTATTTTGACTTGAATAGTTATAAACAGTTAATATATATGTAAGAGATTAATAATTAAACAGAAAAACAATTAAAATTTTCAATACTAGCTGGCCAACTAACTACTTTTCATACCGGGTCAGCATTCCTATCCTTGGGTGCCGATATTCGTCTGTACAAAGAGTACCGTCAATAAGTTATGTACTGAATAAAGAACAGCAAGTATTTTTCCCAAGCGCATGAAATCTAGCGTCGGATTAACTGGTTGTGTAATAAATACTTGGCACTCCTCCCACTCCGACTTTCTAGATCGCCATAGCGATTCACTCCTAGTCATGTGAACACCTACCCAAGACTTCGCTTGACGATAGGGTATATTTAACCATACATTATGTCACAAATCGTGCTCTGTGCTTCGAAACTCGCTCCAAACACTTTTGAAACTTGAAAAAATCTATCGACACTAGGCTCTAACTGCCAGCCTGTGTACAAAAATCATGCAACAAGTTAAATACAGATACCTAAAAATAAATGGAGACGACTAGCTGGAAGTGGATTACACTGTAGCTTCAATAAATTTTGCTTTAAAGAAAACTAGCGAGTCTTCTATATCTTCGCTTATTTTTTGAGTCAGTTTTTAGACAGACAACATCACGTATCGGGCTTTTCAGTCACAGAAAAGCTCATGAAAGAAAACGCCTTGCGTGACCATCTTCTGAT